GTACAAATGGACCATATGCAAAAGCAAATAGCTTATAGATATTTAGAAGTCATATTAGACAGTGCAATTGTATGCTTCCGTATTACTACTGGACGATATTCCGCTGACATCGATATCAACACTAAGTAAGAATCCAGCGTGATGCGGGCGAGTTCAAGTTGTTTTCATCATTATATGTGCTATGCGCAAAGCATTATGACACTCGGAGGCTAAATCTGATGCCTTATTAGCATGTTACATGTACAAAGTCAGTCTCACAGATATGACTGCTTGAAGATTTCTTTCATTAGTGGTAATAATAGGCATGTTACGAAACTAAGTGGAATATAGTTGTCATTCAGGATATAGAAAAACTTAAATTTGTTCAAATCTGTCGCAATATACATTTTTTCTTCATCGCTGATATTCTTTAGAAACGAAAGGAACGATAAATGAATGTTTGGTGTTTGAAGAATAACAAAAATATATCCTTTCGTCAAACTGGAAATAATGCTTACCTAAGAAAATAACTACATTGAATATTATGTTACCGTAAATAAATAGTGTTTGTTTTACAGGATAACTTCTGAAACCTAGCATTTTACGCATTTGAGATTGTCATCGCAAAGCCGAATTGTATTATGAATTTATCTGCTTGAAAAATACACTCTGACTCTGGTGATTTTGTTTTGTCACAAGATTTTAATATTAATCGCACGAATTATATATAAAGTAGAGAAGATTTATACGCTAAATTGTACCGTTTAACACGTGTTATTAACAATTCCAAGAAAAACGGAACAACAAAAACATGACTTTTTTAATTTCCAGTAATTCGTTGTACGGATCTAATGTCCATTTTCCAAATTTATCGTGAAAGTTTTTATTCATCTGTGTGTGTTTTGGTGTCATATATTACCATCCAACGTCCATGGTTAAATTACATTAAAGTTTTTAATAATCTGATATTGCATATGAATGAAATTGCCAAAAATCTGAGATATATTAGGAAAGATGGAATGCAAATCCTCTAATGACATTGCCTTGACTGATGACTTTCAAGGTAAAGTGGCAAGTTTTAAAGATTGGAATAAAAGCGGAACACTTTTTTTACCTGAATTCCCCTGGACTGATCAATGGCACTGAAATAAAAGACAAACACTCATGCAAGATACTTCATTTTTCATGGATCTTAACATTAAATACGGTTACAAAAGAGATGGTCTCATTAAGGGAAATGGGACTGCTGAAAGTATTTCTAAATCTAAGATTGATACAGGGAACTGCCATTTCAAGACGATGTGCCTGTTTTAATATCAGTATCTTTGATACTTCTTCAATTGTGTTGTAATGACTAAAGACATTAAATCGTCTAAACATTTGTATTCAATTCTGCCTGTGTTACAAGCAGGTTTAATTTACCTAGATTTGAGAAATAAATCCTTGAAGTCGCATCAATTTGATTTTTTTTTCTATATTCCGCGATTATGAAGCTGTAGCAATTGCAGGCAGTTCATTTTTACATTGGAGTAATTTACATGATAAAGATTCTGTTGATGGTATATGCCATTGTCAGTCCATTAGATGGTCATCCGTGTACATCCTATACTTATTGTTTCAACCCCTCGGAACACTCTTGGCCATGAGTACAGAGAAATCAGGTACTGTGTCCCAACGGTTGACCGCTAGGTATTATCCTCTCTCTTCACCCACACTCCACTGGAGACACTTTCAGCTGCCCTGCGAGCTTCTGCACTGCTTCTTTCCTCTCCTTTAACATGATTCCCTTTGCACTGCATATCCTCACGCTGATTGTATAGGGAAACCGCTCTATCCGGCCTCCAACTTTCCAAGTCTGCCGTCTTTGCTGCGGCATTCTGCCATCAAGTCCTCATACTTGGCACATTTCCTTAACAGTGTTCACAGATTTTTTACTTCCTCCTGCTAAACTTAAATCTCACTCTGTACCAGTCACCTTCATTCTCTTGAGTCTGTCATTTCGCACTGTTGTCAGCATGTTGATCCCAGACCTTGTCTTCCTTAACATACCGTCCTGATGATGTCTTTGTACCAAAGTCTGCTTTCTATGTCTTCCTTAACCTGCTTCCTGGTCACTCTTCATGTCTTTACATATGCACCCACATTCCTGAACTACTCACTTATGATGAGTCTAGTGTTGTCCAAGCACTAGCAAAGTAATTAAGTGAAGCTTGACTGTTCTGCTATAAAATCCTATGCTTGTTTTTAAGCCTATTTCAACGATACCTGTGACCATATCGGTCATGATCCATTCTGCTCCAAGGAATTAAAAAGAAGTCATGTCATTTAGAATATTGGAAATTGGCAAGTATTCATGTACAAATTAAGATTGATTGGGTTTCAGTTGAAAAGGAAGTTTAAGTTTATTCAAGTGAACCGAAATGTCTTATCTGCACTAAACGTTTTGTATTTGATTTGAAAGCGATATTTATTTTCAGTTATTTATATGTATGCCTTGTACAATATTCAGGAACACTTAGAAATGTACCTATCTGTAATACTCTTTTTCTCATTTGTTAGTCGATCAATAATTGTTTTCAACTTAATTGCTTCGTGAATTTATCATAATCAATACACCTGTCATTGTTCTTTGAACTTTTCCAATCTATCGAATTTAAATGTTCTACAATGATTTTACATTTTGTTGCCAAAGCGCTCATTAGCATATTACAGATTAGCAGATTACATAACACTTGCTACTCTAGCGTTAGTATCAGTGTTAAAAGATTATGCATCGAAATCGTCGTACTGTGATGTTGATTCATGCATCGAAACGCAAATGATGTTACGGTACGGTGTTCGACAGGATAAACTTTTCCATCATATATCGACTTAATAGGATACATTCTGTATCATACGTAATGCAAGATTCGTTTTCTTTCCTAAAAATCTAGATTTCTTTTTCAATTTAGAAGTTTCCCAGGAAATTTGAAATCTACTCCTCTTCTGCGCACTAGCACTTATAAATTAATCGTCTTTTTTAATTAATTAGTTCATCCATTACATTACATAGGTTCAGACGGTCGATTAACACGTTAAGGTCATACAGTGGACTAATTTAGGTTCATATCTTGTATTAACATCCATATTCTTTGTTATATCATACGGCGAAACCCTGTTAACAAAGTAAGGGTGATAGGATCACACAGTGTTGAAAACTCGACTATGTTCATCGTTATTTTACTTATCCATTTTGTGAGGGTAGGGAGCGGTTAAAGTCCGTACAGTTAATACAACAGTCAAGAGGTTAGGAGATTCATCAGTATTGAAAAAAAAACAAAACGCTGAAAGAAAGAGTAGACAGGGAAGAAAGAAAACAGATCCAGTAACAAAGAGTTGCAATGAGGATAGAAGGCCAGTTTAAGTGTCGTGGAAGTGCCCTGGCAGAGGTGCGTTTCTGAACGGTCCCGGATAAACACAGATAAGACGGCATCTTACAGTTTTTAATTATTTTGGTAAAATAAGATCGAAAACTTAACATCATAGATTTTGCACGATCAAATATTATCATTTCTTGCAAACAAGAACATAGATCAATAAGTATAAACAAAAGGAAACTGCAATAATACAATAATATTTTAACCTACAAAAGCATGTAATGACTACAAGTAAGAAATTTCACACAGAATTCAAATCTCAATCAATTAAAAATGTAATAATTGATAAAAAAAACCCTAAAAATGACAAATTGGTACTATAGAGTCCCATACAGTAATCAGAATTCAATTAACACGTTTGGGTAAAACAATGGTCATGCAGTACATCAAACTAAATTAACACAAACAGGTAGAAAGGATCAAACGTTAATTAACATCATATCAACACAGTAAAATAATGTATTGCCATGTCTTATTCTTAAGCTAATCAGGCAAAATACAGTGTATGATTAAACAATTTTTATTATCATATCAACACCGTAAGGATTTTTTAGGGCCATAACGTATTCTTACGCTTCAAACACAGTACATTGATATAGGAGATGGTGGTTTCGGAGGACAACGCCAGGTCAGGAAAAGTCAAAATGTTGTCTGGACATACTATCAATACAACAAATGTCACGCAAAGGTTATACAATAGCTTTTATAGATCACCATCACGATAATTATTATACAGTATGTGTAGCAGAACAATCACTCCATGGCAGAAATCATGAGCGGTTAAGTAAGAAGTTACATATAAGTCCCGCTCGGCTCAAAATGAAAATTGATGCGGAAAGTCCATCCTATCAAACGATCTGCACAAATTACCATTGAAGTGGAGACTTCCGAAAACATTTGTTACATAATGCGATGCCAATTAGATACGTAGACGATGAGTCATCTATTTGTGTTTCTAAACAATTTCGTCGTTATAAGCATCATTTAATGGGTCCAGGATTTGTAAAATCCATTGGAATCTGGAATTAGTTTGGTTGTTGCAATAACAAGAAAATAGCAGACATTGACAATATGATATAAATACGTAATGTGTACTTATGATACGGATACTACTTTACGTCTACATAGCAATGTTATCTGTTATATATTGTATTATATAAACAAGTACATATTTCAGAAATCACACAAAATACAAAAATATGCTTAATATTGAAAATAAACTGTCTAAACTTTAAAATATCCCCGGTATCGAGCTATGCGTGAAAGAAACATTTACACTTATTTTAATGTATAGCAGACCATTGCATTATTTATCAGCACATTCATTTCTATTTAATTGCACATCTGACACATACTATATATTGACTGAACACTTAATTGTCCCTCATTGTTCAATTAATACCAATACAGAATGGTGTGAAGATATTGTTATAACGTTACTATAAAGGAAATCTTGCTTGTACAGTGTGGTGCTGTAATCACCAATGATACACCACACAAGTAACCATGTGACACATCAAACTGGCGTGACCTCCTACGGCGGAGTACTCGACGGACGCGCAATCGTTTGGCTACTTCAGTTGACAGAAGTGTTTTCTAAAGAGTTGGCATGAGATCGTTTTCTCTTGTGGTCGCACACGTGTTGCAGCATCTGACGACAAAGCGTTCCTGAGCTGGCCAACACAAGCTTATCTACACGTGGTAACTGTGATAGACTATTTGCTTCGCTATGTACTGGGTGATACTGTTATACGGAGTTTTCTCTCAGCACGTGCTTTACACACGAGCACAAACAAGGTGAGATGATTCTTCTAATTGCGATCCATTTTTATTCATATTGCGTTTATATGTATACATATCGATCTGTAACCGCCGTCATCCTTTTTCCGTTTCTAAGAATACTCTGGAAACAAATGAGAGTTTGTTATTGACGTGCCAGTAAGCATGTTAGGTAAATTATTGACAAACGTGACACATGAGTAGGTAAACACATTATTAACATTTTAATGCTTGACGCGAAGACTTTTAATGGGTATTATATTATCATGTTACGGTTCAATCAGTGATATTTTACATCCTCCTCATCACCTGATCACTAAACAAAATAGTATTGACTTATACCCGGGCCATGTCAGGTTTTGAACATTAACTAGTTATATTAAAAAAACTCACAAACATTTTTTCTTTCTTCAATAATTAATTGATTAATTTTTTGCTGAAGAAATATCCCTTTATTTCTACCTTTTGACCCGATCAGTATTTTAGCCAGTGATCTGTTCAATCAATAGATTTCAGTTATGGTCTTCGTGGGCTAGATATACAAGCTCTGAACCATATATAATATAACCGGAGAAGGTGATCAATACCGGGACATTTAATATACGCGTCCGTGGTGACAAACTCATAAAGGGGATTTATGAAATATCTAGTATCACTAGATTATTTCATTAACGGACGAACGTTTAGTTATATGGATTAAAATCTAGAATTTTATCAATTTATAAAGTAAAGTCTCTTTTTTATTTTGATTATGTTGAATTATCATAATGCTTGATCTTTTCACGAGAATTTGATCCAATATGATATATTGATAAATTGGATCCGTGCAGACGTTTGTTTGATGTTTGATATTTAATTCAATTTCACCGCAAAAGCAAACTCGACATTTAAAACAAGGAAATTTGACAATTGTCTGAGGCACAATGTCCCTTGCTCAGGACACAACGTTTACAATAGTGATGAAAAGTCAAAAGATATGATATCTGATGTCGTAGCAAAGTGAATAAGAAAGTAATTGGGTCACATTATCTGACATTGAATAACAGTATGCATGACTTTCGACATTGATAAACAAATTTACTTCAACTCATAGTATACCATATTACATTAATGTATCAGTTATTTTACATGTTATGTTCACGGCCAATCGACTGTGAGGAAATTTGATCAGCCGCGATTCATGTCTGCAGTAATTTCTGAAACACATTTATCGATTAATTGAATTAGTAAACATCAGAAGGTATACACGATCATTTTAAATCAAAGTTGTTACATTTATTGATCCTACATATCACTGTCTGCATTTTATTTCCTGGTTTACTACTTTCACTCTCTGTTCAATTCCATTAGTTTTCTATGGTGTACTTGGTTACTATCTTAACAATATATAATGACTTGGTTGGTTATCTTAATGTTCAGTGATGCACCTAATTGGTCATAGGAAAGGCTTTTAAAAGGCGTATTGTCTGTCTGCTACAAAGAACCGTTATTCCACAGATGACAGTAAATATGTAAAATATTTGTTATATATAAATAGTTGTAACTCCAGAGCAAATCACGTGTTCCTGAATTAATCTATGTGATAGTATTCTTGATAATGCATGTCGTCTCCAAAGGATTGCACTCATAATCTAATCTAATGACGACTCATTTTGACTACAAGGTACATTGTGTACATCAGTAAGTTCTAAAATAAACTCGTTTATCTGCAGAGGCGTAGCAATAATGTATGCTTGTATGCTTAAACATACACTCGAATGCCATTGAGATATATTTGCCCTACTTTTTAACCTTACTGCGCCCCTAGACCCCCTTAACCGGGGCTTCGCCCTTGGATCCTCTCTTGAAAGCATACACTCTTAAAAATGTTTTGCTACGCCACTGATCTGACAAGCAAAATCTACCTGTTTTTATTGGTAACTAAAGCATTTGTATTGCTAATTCTCATATTCATCTGATATTGTAATAAATAACCATTTCTGACTTTACCGATCAATTGCTTATGAACGCAATAAGCTGCACATAAATGAAAAAATACATTTTGTATATACTTCCCAGATCATCTTAGTGACAAGTGCATTGGATTATTCAATTATTGTTGGAAAAATATAGAAACCATTGTCAAAAAATTGATTATATAACATATACATTTGTAAAGTTGAGATAAGTTTTGTTATAGCAAGGCCTTATCCTGCTCTGCTTTATCCGCCATGTACTAACATGCATGCTATTTTCATACCGTGTCCTCTTACTTCGAAACAGATGTTCCCTCCATATGTACTACTATCTTGCACTGACGTCATATAAAAGCTCTCTGAATGGTGATGTTTGCAAGCCATTGCTAGCCGTGCTTCGGACTATTTGTCTGAAAGATTGGCTGATTCACTGTATTGGGAACCAAACATTGTTTTCAAAATAATGAAACCTCAATTTCATCACTCCAGTTCAAATGCTGTTTTATCGTGCTTGCATTGGATCAAGGATGTCTTTCGGTACAGAGTACACAAGGCTAGGATTAATACTGATTATTGTCCTATCAACATCTATGGTAAACTAAGGCCTTCCGGTAGTATATGAGGTCAGTGGATATGTTGCGTGCATGTGGTTTTTGGAGTTTGCGATAAGTATAACCCTCTTTGTGATAGTGCAGAACTGATTCCGGCTTTATTAGAGCTATTCACTGAGGTTTATTGCCGAAGGCAACTAGCGGGTAATTTCTTCCATTCGGTTCAATATTCTAATGACGTTCATTGTAAAGAACTACCGTGAATTGTCTATAACACAGATAGACTAATGGCACAATACATATGGAGTAAACAAGTACCCTAAATCAATCCCATAGCAGAGATACATTGTTACCTGTATTATTCTAAACATATATCATCTTCTCATTTTAAACAATATCTGAAAGTGACGCTTACCATAAAATTTTACAAGAAACAATCGGAAAGACCTTTAATCTGACAGTAACGGAGATTGAAGTCAAAACGTCTCTCAGTCATACTTTCAAGGCACTTTTTTCTCAAAAAATAAAAAAAAATACGTGGATGAAACTAGCAGAGTACCACAGGGAATTGTTCATTTATAGTAATCAAGAGGAAAATAGTTTTCCTCTCTCTTTTTTTGATGGACGAAGATATTGTAGGCGGTAAAATCTCCCTGATTTCTTAGCTGAAAAAACGTCAAATTTAAAACAATTAACAATTAGTAGATACACCGTGCTAGAAATATTATTTGACAGAATATGTAGCAGTACAGGAGGAGCACAGCGATCGCCTACGCAATGATTAATGCCGTATTTATTGTAGCACTGGTAGTATAGGGAAATGAGATTCTAACTAGACAGCATTTTCAGATTACAAAATAGTCGATTTGGGTTTCTAGAGGAAATTGATGCCGCGATTTAGATTGCACAAGTAAGTGTTACACATATAATTATCATCGGGAACGCGTTTTAGTCAGCAACATTTAAGCCAATTGTTGTGATTCAAAGGGTAATGAAAATATATAATTTTATCCATCTTTTGTCTGATATCTTATTTATTGCTTTACCTTGCAATTAATCCGTGCACAAACTTCATATTCCATAATTATCTTAACCGACGAGAAATAAGCAACAGAAGTATTTCTCTGATAATCAAAATCTTTCCAATACTGAAATTAAATTTGTTACTGCAGGTGCATTCGACTTACAAGTTAAATAACAATGGTACCCAGGGACTGATGAGAGTTAGATGTCTAAGATCTCTAGTCTGAACACTGTCATATGAATCATTTTTATACAAGACGACTTTGCACTTTGGAGATACCCCTGAACACCCTCACAATCGTCTTCATACCCATACACGACGTTTTGCAGATCTCATGAGCACTAGGTTTATATATTTTAACGGAAAGCACGCTGAAACTCCGTTATTCCATTGGTGACTGATAAAGTTGAGGTTTTGAAACCCTTTTCACTTGTTCTTCATATAAAACCCGCCCATTCTATGATAAAGTTGATACGCCGGAAATTATTATTAGATGATATCGTACATTTTGTCAATATCAAAGGATAATATCCTGCACGTATGCAGGATGTAATGTAACGGTTAATGATTTTATATTTTATAATACAGATGGAGAAAAAGTGAAATGTTATTTCTAATGTTTCAGTTTCTTTCAATTCACGGTCCTGAATAAAACATTTATCGTAAATAGGTGAAGCAAAACACATTTAATATATGTTGGTAAAACTGTTCAGCAGTGACCATTTTTGTCTTGAAATGTCTGCATTTATTTAGTCTTTACAATTTCCGAAAGCCAGATCTGATCCCTGGAAACATCTATGGTCTCCAGACATAATGTAATACTCTATAGGGTATTTGAAATGACAGATCGCTGGTTAAGACCCTTAGACAATCCGTAAAGTCATTTGTGACGACAGTAAAATATCATTAGCGCCCGAGCCATATCAATTCTCCTAATTGTCTCCAAATTCCAGCCATTTTTTAATGTAGACGTCGGGTCGACCATATCTGTAGGAGGAAAAGGAAACGGATGTTCTTTCGATATTGTGTATTACAGTCGCCGTTAGGATTTTTGTCCCGCTGTCCTGCCGATACAACGCAACAGATGAGATCACTTTAAGATAAATGAAGAGACGCCGCTAAAGAATTTTTTTTCGAACAAATAATCTTATTCAATAAATATTAATAGCGATATGTTTTTAATCCTTAAAACGTTTAATTGTTGTGTTAATATATTTAATTAAACAGTATTTCACTGCTACAAGCACACTCAACAAACTTCATTTGGAAGATTCCATAGTTTTAAACATGACATTATAATGACTGACAATAATAATATTTACATTTAAAATTTCGATTTTAATACACTCACAACATTTTTATCTGAAAACTTATTAATAATAAAGTATTTTATCAATGTTTGTTCAGTTATCCTATTCACTTCATATATATTTGCGCTCATCGATGTGTTATATAAAATTTAACGTGAAGCATAAATGTTTAAACAGAAGACAAGTCTTAAGATTAGATTTAAGATTGTTATGAAATGATACGACATCCTAAGAGATAGTGTGCAATTCCACCTGTATCTCCGGGAAGGTGAGTAATTAAGACATTCATAAATCGTGTGAAACGGTTTTGTATTACAAGGAGTACTTGCTATATGATAAATGTCTCCGCAATTTAAGTTAATAAATACTATCAGAATGACAAAACCTATTTTATGGATACTCTGAAATGTCAGACAAATATAAATAACGACAGTAGGTATATATAACCGTCCAGTCACAAAACAGATACCATCAAGAAACAATCAACTTTTAGGAAGGTATGCTAAATATCACTGAACAAATAACTAGAAATGAGGAACTTAGGCAAATATATGGTACCTTTAACATTTTTTCTCATGGACAAGTGATAATATTTAACATAGTTAAATACATATCAGCCACTACCATCCTGTTGTTAGACAAGTGATAATATTTAACATGGTTAAGAACATATCAGTCACTAACATCCTGGTTGTTAAACAAGTGATAATACTTAACATGGTTAAGAACATATCAGTCACTAACATCCTGGTTGTTAGACAAGTGATAATATTTAACATTGTTAAGCACATATCAGCCACTAACATCCTGGTTGTTAGACAAGTGATAATATTTAACATTGTTAAGCACATATCAGCCACTAACATCCTGGTTGTTAGACAAGTGATAATATTTAACACGGTAAAGTACATATCAACCTCTCACATCCTGGTTGCTAGATTACCAAGCCAGCAGACATTTCTGGTTGTCCTATTATCTAACCCGCACCTGTATTGTTGTCATTCTTCTGTAGTTAAAACCGTTTCTATTACCAAGCTTTGAGATCTAGTTATTATTTTTATTTAGTTAATCCGTCTCCATTTGGTTACGAAACAAGTTTCCTTAGCTTTGACCTATTGAATTATAAGATATGACAATAGATAAAACAAAACTTATTATGAATATATCATTTCTTACAAGCGTTTGCTTGCCTTTCAGAGCTGAATTTGTCGGTGCTCTAATAGTTGATTATGACAACCGGATCCCTCCAAACTTTGAAAAAAGTAAGTATTTTGATATCTGCACTTAAATTCCTTTTTCACAGTCATTTCTCTCCAATATAATTACAAAGCTTCCACGAGGTTTGCTGTAACCTGCATGTCATGTTTTAATTAATTCAAATAGTGGCACGGTTTAGAATATACACATGTACTTGACGCTGTCTAAAATTATTTTACATATGAAATTTACAGAATAGATTTTATCATTGGATTGCTGCGCGTCTCCGTCTGGGTGTTTTACTTTTCATTTGAACACTTTGTATTTTCTCCGGTTGCCTCTTAGACATCAGATTGAGGCCCATAGCATCATTGAAAGACGAAACATCTGTATCATGAAATTTTATTCATTGTTTCGTTGTATATAACTCTAAATTATCAAACGGTGCTATTCACTTTTGTGTATTTTGTACAATCTCCTTTTATCATATCGATTCTATTCAATCAGCACATAGCTAGACTATTTCCTTTTAATTATTGGCTTCGCATGGTTTTCAACCCAACAGATAATGTTTAAAAGTTGTTCTTGCCCTTTTCCGTAAATGTCCACCTTATTACCTCCTTATTCTTGGCATAAGTGTGAGTTTGCGGCTAAGTGTGACAGGATATCGGTTCTGTTTCTTTCCGTGAGAAAAGTCAATAATATGCTCCCTACTTGTCGCTGAGCGTTGACTGGTTTCCCCAATGATGTGATCAGGAAAGTTTTCAAGCTTCAGTGTCCAGACTATCACATTACAATCTGATATCATTATAAAAGCACTATCGTGTACACCGTGTTCAAATTAAACCGGCTGTAAAGAGGGTGATAACCCCAACACAAATAAAAACATTCGTATAAAATTCCACAAATGTCAATTGATATTAATTATTCTACAGGAAGCTCGCAAGCAGTTAAGAGTGTGTAAATTGACCACGAACGTAAGCCCTTTGATTATATCGATATTAACTAATTGGATACATCCACTGCTCTTATTATAAAGTCGACTAAGTTCATGGAGATAAAGAGATTTTTCAAGTTTAGCATCAAATGAGCAACTTTCTAGATATTTAGTAGACATTTCATTGTATTTCTTACATAATACAGTAGTGAGATTTGCAACCTAGTAACAATACTTACTACATTTGTAATGAAGCCCATCATTGAAGTTTCGACAATAATTGCACTGATTTTTTTCTAGTGTGGCTTTAAAATAAGAAAACATAGAAAAAATAAAATACTTTTGTATTTAAATGAAGAATCCCTTAAGAACACAAAGAGTACAGCATATCTAGGTTTCAATATATGTAAGTGGGAATTTGATATCCAAGTGCGCTGCGATCTAGACATACAATTACAGATACAATACGTTATAAACTGTCCAAGACAACCCATTTAAGTATCGATTTGAATAAGTTCAATCTTTCTTTAGCGTGTAACGTATACAGTACACACAAACTAAGATTACACCAGAAATTGTGTGCCTGAATTGAATGTTTTCGTTATATTATAACAATAGGTTTCCGTCTAATACAACCATTTATTTTGATACGATAAAATAACCGAAGAAAAATGTATCGCTAGTATGGCTGTAATGTAGGCAGCTTTCAACATAAAAAATTAGCAACTGAAGTACAAATTCTTTTTGAACAAAAACAGGAAAATACTGACATGTCAACATAATCATAATCCAAACGAAAATTCAATAAAACTATGGCAAATTATAAACAAAAGAAATATTTATACAGAGTTTCCTGTAAAAGTACTATGAAAATAAGACCAGGTGTTCCATAAGAGTCAGCGTCTTCTGCTTCAGTGACGACACCCTCTATGTAAACATTGGTCCATTCAAGTTAATAATGCCATGTTCTGAAATTAGAATAAAGTAAACAACAACGGAACCAATAGTCATACTAACGAGTATCATACATATAGCGTACAATGTAACAGTATATTTCTCGATGAGATCACTATAATGACCGTCATTGTCTTGCTATTATTTGCATCAATTTGCATTTTGAACGTAGATCCTATGTGGAAAATCTGTTGTGATTTTAATACCGACAATGACTTTACATTTCCAGAATCTGCAGCTCCATATAGGTAATTTCGTCGTATCAGAAGATTTGAGTTTCCCGTAATTCTTTCTCTAGGGATTCTCTCGATATATTGTAAGTGCGCTTACAATGATTTATCATAATTCATGTCCCAAATGAATTTGGAAAACCGTAAACATCAGTCAACTTCAAAGAATCATATTCATATATATCGCTTTCCAGATTAAATATTTTCAATATTTTATTTGAACGTCTGTGTACCTTTCAGTATGTACTTCTGAAATAAAGGGAAAAACGGAAAAAGAAAACCAAGAAAATACAACCATAATCAAAAATCAATTTGAAGAAAACTATGATAAAATATGGGCAAAAGACAGGTGTGCACGGAGACTTCTGGCAAGTTGTAAGCTTGTGCAATCAAGAGCAATTTTCTGTTTTCTTTTAATGAGGAAAATTGCTACTACATGTAATTGCGGGTGTACCCTTGCAGATCAAAAGGTTCGTGTTTCTCTGAGATGTTTGGTTAGGGAGACATTAAACAGATACTGCCCGGTCATTGATGGCTATTACATTGTAAAAGTGGACGCCGAGGTGAATCTGAGTGTTGCTTACGTTTCTCCTAATAAGGAAATATTGAATATATAGATATATATAGCTTCCTGCTTGCTACACTTAGGATCTTTACTGTTTCCTACCATTCTTACTACACACGTTAAGATACAACAGGCATGTGCTTTATGGTCAAATGGTCTTTATCTGCATTACACTGAAGACAATTTAAAGCGCCATTATCAATGGTGCATGTAATAATGGAGAAAATCGATGACGTCTCACCGTGATAAGGATACGTTGCACATTGTGATGACTTTTTGGTTGTGAAGTGATTACGTTCTTTTTGTAAAATGATGGTGTTTTCCTGAAAAGAAATACAACTATCTGTCATGTTTATCTTTTCTCTGAAATTTATCGGTAAATTGTTGTAGTGTGCACTATTCGTTAGTGGTGCCTTGGGAAGGATTAAAAAGTGAATGGATGATCGTTTAAAAATAACAGATAGCCCCAGAATCACATTGATGGGCGTGTAATTTAGTTTGGTTCATTTAGTTTAGTGTTTGACAATTGTTCAATTACAATATCCTACACGTCTTTGTAATGCGAGACAAGGAGTCGTCGGCTGGAATTCGTTTATCCATTATTACATATTATATGTTTTGGGACATGTAATTGAAAAATATTGGATATTCTATGACTTAAATAATTCGTGTCTCGTCGGTTGTCGTCGGTCGTACCCCGATGTGAATCAACTCAAAATTATCTGGAATGGTCCCAAGAGATTATATTAAAGACAGACAAGTGAAGAGCACCTAAACAAACTTCTTTTCGTTCGGTCCAAAACCCAATTCGGCCATTTTGAAAATACATCTTAAACTTCTCGAGCTCACCTGGTACTACAGAGTTGAAAAGTGGTATTATGTAAATGAAACGGAAAAAAATGATAGGAAGTAATTTTTTGACCTCTTCAAAATTTTGACATTGCAGCTTTACGGTGGGTATTTTCTAACAATCTTGAATGAACAATCTTGCTAAATTCTTATTATGAGTATTATTGTGATAAAGTTAACTCTAGAAGTCCAATTGTTGGTATGTGGATATTAAAGACTTTCAAATAGCTTTTGACAAATGTTCAACACCCTTTTCAAAAGAACGATTTAGTTCTCTTGTTATGGGAACTTTCTCTTCTAAGAAAGGCGAACGGTGGTACAAATATATGGTTGTGAACTATACTGAAGCGTGTTTCGCGAAAAACACTTCCAAATCAGAGAAGAAATATAAGCAGGACGAAATCATAATATTGATCGAGGTTTTGGTTGACGACATTTTCGTCGAGTTTGGTGGCGGGATACTCAAACATACTATTGGCATATCTATGGGAACTAGCCGTGCCCCTCTGTTGGCTGATTTGTCTTTGTTTTCATACGAGGCTGAATTCATCGAAGAGCTTATCAGAACAGGTTATTGACCACGCCCATCGTATAAATCCACTAAAATTGGAAATCAAGGACAAGCCAGATTCTTCTCCATCAGCCGCTTATCTCGATCTTTTCCTACAACGAAACCAAAATATATAGCTTTCCAACCCTGTTGTTAATTTTCCGTTTCTAGATAGCGGAAGCCCTGCATGCCCAACCTATTTGGTGCTCAATGGCTTGCCTGTTGTTTCCGTTGTTGAGTACATTGTTTTCGTTTGAGAATGTGACATTATTTATTTGAGTTGATTTGGATTGATCACGATTTACATGGCGGCTTCCGTCAGCGAAACAAAATACGCTTAGTCTTCCGGAATATCTGGTCTTATTATCCTTTTTCTTTTTCCAGCGTCTGTGTAAATCATTCTATTGTCCATATTTTGCCATAGTTTCATCGAATTTTCGAGTTTGGATAATGTATATGCTGACATATTGGTTTTTTTTAGTATGCATATGATCATGAAGTCTAACAGCCGAGAACTCATTACAACACTGGTTATACGCTTTATATAGGATATTTTGATTTTTGATTTTTATCAAAACTTCGCACATACTATTTCTTTTTTAAAGTATTATTCTACTATTTTATAGCAATTTCCTTATATTTTGACATAGCATTTATCACAGAAGACGTCGTTTGCCTGGCCACTCAATAGTATAATCATATTCGGAAAAACAGTTCATATTCCTTTACAATGTCATGCCAAGAGTAACAAAGCATTTAGTACATTTCCGAAAGAATAGAAGTCTCCAAAAATGTTAACGATTTCACAATGTCAATATACAATATGTGACTTAAATCAATATCTACCTTCTAGAACTATTGTGAAAAGAAACCATTCGCTTGTTTTTTGGGATTTGGATTGGAGGACTACGTTAATTTTTTCTCGTCTTTCATGATCGATACTAAGCAGTGTTATTAAGCTTCTTTATTTAAATTCGCATACGAATACGCGAAGTATGTGAAAATTAGGGTGTTATACAGTTAGAGTAATATTGTAGTAGAATACTAATTTTAAAAAAAGTTTCACCGATATTCGTAAAGACCAGTAGAAAACAAGGTCTCTCAGTCTTCACACTGTCCTCGTTCCTTTGATGCATATCAATTTTATTTCTGTTTATCATTTTTCAGAAAAGACATCAATGCGATAGCATTTATTCATTTGGATAGACAACCAGTCTAACAAAATTTAATTTGGATGACAATATAACAAGAGCATACACACGCCCACCTTTAAATCCCAAAGCAAAAAACAACACCAAGTCCGTTTTAAATCAATATGTTTATTCGGTAGCGATTGGAAGGCAGCATTGCTTGAAATCATTAAGGCTAACTTATATGAGTTTTAACGCTGCTGTTTTAACACTTCACGCATCATAGGATTTGATAAAATCTAATATATTGCTAATATCAATAAAGTAATTAGAGTGCTGTGATAATTTTGTGAAAATACTTTAAAGCAGAATATCAAGGTAACATTACTAAGTTAATATAAAAATATGACCAGAAAAAATTAAGGACTTTGTTTATTACTGATATGATATTGACATCTGCTAATTTACCGGGACCTTAAAATTGATGTATACGGTGGCCTACGTTGTGCTTGATGTTGATATCTACTGGACCCCCAATGATCTGATGGAGCTCTATCCAATCTTTCCAGTTCCACGAATACCATTCCATCGACAGAGCGCATTAATGGTGCTCGTTTTTCACTATAATTGGGTGACAGTGATAAAGGCCCATGTACTTCAACCTCTAAAACATTTATACTGATTACCACTACTTCAAAGTGGCCGTCTGGACTGTCGTGGTTTGTTTGGCGTTAATTCATCAACATGAAAGCGAATCACAAATATTTCGAATCCAGAGGAAAACAGGAAAATTTAATCATTTTTAAGGTGTTTGGATACCATTTGCTCATTTGTTTGATTAAATCGGTTCATTTGATTCATGTCTTATTACCAAAATGAATCATTCTGTTTAAGATTTATAACTGAAATTAATAGCATGCAATATTTCAAACCTGTCGACATTTTGAAACTATAAATTTTGTTCTGTAGAAGTTTGGAGTCCATTATACCAAACACATAACTTGCTAGTCGAAAGAAGTACACACAAGTTTGATACACACTGTTTAAAGTTGGCATGGCTTAGACTGCATAATTTTTGATGATGAGTGTTTAAACGGAAGACTGCCATGTATGTAAAAATATATGTGATTGAATTATCTAACATGTTTCGCTGTCATAGAGAGTAAATTTACTACGTTAATTACGATTGATCCAGTGAGTCATAAAGAATAAGGATTTGTGGTATTAAAGCTGAGAACTAAAGACTAGAAATATTGTTGACTATTCTATCTGAAAAAAAATATCCCGTTAATTGTTTTCGGCATTGTATCATTGATGTCGAGGTGTTAGTGATATCACATCATCAAATAAAGACAAATTACTTATTACCAATTAGTTTGATAACCTGTTATTATTACCTTTAACCTTCCTGTGCCTGCAACCCTCGAGCTTTCCACTCCAATATACCATTGTAGCATACGATTCATCCATACAAGATATTATTATATTGGATGTAAAAAAGGTGTGGTATATCTTAAGTGATGATATGTTCAACAGAAGCAACGCTACTACACACCCTTGTAAATCTTGACAGGCGAAGAATTCACACTTTTTAGCCACTTTTTAATCAACAAAGACGCAAAGTTCAGTATCGTAATTCAGTATCTTGACCACACATCGTAGGGATACGCTATGCGATGTTATATAGTATTTGAACTCTTCTTAAAGTAATTGTGACGCGCTTTAGAACCATGTACTCAAGTATTTATACTACCACTATGATTTTAATTGAAATGTTTGACCATTCTATACTATACGCATTTTACCTGATTTACTCTCGTAACAAGGTATTTAAAGGGAGTTGTAAAATATATTCGGTCGAGCTCATATGTTTTCGAGTATCTTAATACGTTTATTTGATGACCTGTTAGAATTTTAAGTTCAGAATGACATTAGCAATATCATTATAACATTAATGTTCATGACAGTAAAATTAATCAGGCAGAAGACATTAATGAAACACAATACCAATAATATTATACCTCATTTATTTAGATATTATCACTGAATGCGTTTTATTGTTTCATGTATTAGGACAGAATTAGTTATTACAAGTGATTTGTATGCGTAAGCATTTTATAAAGGATTATCATGTGATATTTACCAAAATGTCACATATTTCTGGACCTATCGCTGATCCAACCAAACAAACACTCGTAAATCAGTGTCGCATCAAATGACATCGTTGCCTTTTTTCCAGACAATTACACCGAAGTAGAAGTCAGTGTGTTCATTAACAGCATCGACTCCATCAGCGAAAAAACCATGGTGAGTGCCTTCTTTCTGCTGGCATAGTATTCATGACAAAGTTTAGTGTATTTCTTCTGTGTATTTGTAGGAAACGTGTTTTTTGTTTATTAGTATATATAGATAAGTCTGATACGAAAATATATCTACTGACAGGGGAAATGTTGAGACACTGCTGCAATATATCAACAAACAAAAATAAAATAAAATTTCATCTTTTATACAAAATTCCTCCGGGATGTTTTCCTCTAGTTTACGTTTTTCTGTTTATCAGTAACAGCTTCAGGGTTTGACGAAGATTTTGGGCTATGCAAGTTCTTGAAATTGTTTATTAACGTCTGTACAAACCAGTACTTCTCACAATGGACATTCGTTTGGTCGAGCGAACTTTTAGCAGCAATGTACCAGTTATACGAGTATTTTTCAGAACTCTATCCAAACAAAGTTTCATGTTCGCTCACTCGATCTATACGATGAATAGTTTGATACAACGAGGTGACAGCAATGGTTGTATATGACATGTTTACACAGAAAATACATGAATTGTTTTTAGAATACTAATCTATCACATTACTTTGACATCTCGTTATATGTTACTTAAATCCAAATCCTAATTGTCTACGCATTATAATGAAAAATATCGACCCGGGTCAGAGCACACAGTATATTTGCTAGTCTTCCTATTGTTTTTCATACCAATAACAACTTTGTGTTTCTTTGTTTGGAATCCAATCTGGGAGTAATCCTTTCCGGGACATTAGGCTGGCCCATATACAGCCGTCCTGGTTATACGACAATACCGCAGTACAAATCAAACAGCCAGATTTGTTATTCATGTATTTCGATCAGTCAGTTATTGGCTAACTTTACGTGACATGTCGTAGCTTTTTATTGAAAAAATGCCTATTTTCTTTGTGTACCACAGTCGCATGCTGATATTGCTTCAAAGAGACAGATACATTAAAGAAGCATATTCAAATGTACTATCTTCATCCTAACCCGCTGAGAACGCTGATAGAATTAGGACGCATGTCTAACTTTCAATTACGCTAGCAGATCTTGCTCTACAGGTCGCCAGGCAATCTGATTCATCGGGCCTCGGTCAATGATAAGAAACCTTTACAACTGGATTATCCACAGTCCTTGGCTGATTCAGCAGATCTACCGTCGTGATTTAATGGATAAGAGTTATTGCTATCTCCGGTAGTCTCAAATCTTTGTTCAAAATAAATTGTGTGATAATTTCTTCTGTTTTTAACATTTAACATGTGCATGCACTTACTGCTGCACATCGAATAAAGAATGCCGACTTTGCGTTATGTATTTTATTTATCAAAACAAAATTCGACACATGAAAAATCTTTTTCTTTTTTCACTCCGCGGTATGCCTTCAGATCAAGATATTAATGCGATACAAATAACTTGCTCTTGCTCCTTACGATGCAAAACGCATTTTTAAGTGATACTTAAAAATACACAAAAATGTTTCTCTCTTACTCGTTACTCACAAACTCATCCAAGTCAACAGTTCTCGAGTAAATTATCATATTCCTGAATCAAACTTCCATGAAAACATTCACCTTAGAATATAATGAAAGTAAATAACGTTTTAGAAAAGTCATAAACAGATGTGAGCCATTCTTTGTAAGATAAAACCACAGAACTGCCAATTTCTCTTCGTTTGCATTTTTCTGTAGAAAGTGATTTCACTGATTCTGAAAAAAATATCTTGTGCAATATAAAATGATGAATTAGATTGAGTTTTCTTTTCTAAGACTGGCTGCATACATGTTTTATTTAAGCATTTACAATGGTAAAAGAAACTGCAAGAAATAAATGAGCATTTTCAATGGAATTACTTCGTAACTTGATAGTAGTTTGTTATTACAACGTCTTCAAAATACCAAGTGGTGATTAATACATATTATTCACGAAGATCATTTTAATAATTCATACGTTGCACGAGGTCAATATATTTTAACACACATTTTAGAAGGACGTTACCTTCAGCTCACCTTTCATTGGCTGTAGACGTGTTATAAAAGGGTTCGCATGCACTCTGGACCCTACAATTGTTCATATATACATTTTTATATCAGCGACTTCTCAGTCTTTGATGTCATCCGATAACTTTTTTGCGCGTTGCTTCCTATACATTTCGTACAATTTATTTGCAATTACATATATGCAGCATGCGAAATACACCTTTGTTTCGGGTTCTTATGGTCGAACTCTGTCGAATAACGCATAGCTATCACAACATGGTAGCATATCACATCTGTCAAAACAACAATAATTCGATGTATCAAAATGAATGCGAACATAAACCCATCTGAAGCAATTGCATCTTTTGAAAATTCATATATATGTATATTGCGTATGATTGATATTTCATCGTTAAAGGAAAATAACCCAGAAATTTTCCAGATTAGTTCAGTACAGTCTCCACATCAACCGTTTGATCTTGTTTGAACAATTTTACAGTACATTTCTGTATTAAGTTATGTATATAACATACAACGCCATGTCAAACAAACCAAATATGCATTCTCTGTAAAATTTGTTTTCTGTCTATACTACGAAGTCGATCTCTCACTTTCTCCTTGACAAACACTATATATTGTTAGTAATGTAACCTTCTGAAAAATCGAAAAAAAGAACGGACCAATTCTTTTCTTTGTCTTCTTTGTAGTTATGGTTATAGTAATATTCCGTAAGCTAAATGTACATACTCGCTTTTTTAAAAAAAAAATCACTTCATTAAACGAAAGCATTATTGAAAGGGATATTCCGCTCAATTTAGGATTTCATAACATTCTTTATGAGAAACAAAAGCATCTACTTATATTCTTATGCACGAATAGATTTCCCCCAAAATTAAATTTTAGCCATTTATTTGAGGAAATTCGATTAGGTCTAGCTAGATCTGTTTACAAATGTTATAACTGCCTTGATGACATCACAACAGGTTTGCGCCTGCGAAATGCACTGTAAACAAACGAAAATGGCGACTCCCACGGAGACACGTTTTGGGCGAGAGAAAACGTTTCTACGTCAGTGAAAAAAGGAGAAACTAGAAATGAGCGAGACATTATCCAAGCATTACAACTGGGAAGCATAACGAGAAATGACTGCAGTTTATGGAAGAGAACACCCAGTGCAAAACAATGCAAGGAGCGTTTGAATTCCAATTCACCATTGCGGGACCCATTACAATCGTTATTGTAGCCATCCTTACTTTTCTTACAGGAATGTCAATATCTGTTATTGTCATTTCAATGTAGTTTGTGTTGTCATTCACAAATATGACGGGACAACGTCTTTTACTGATAAACTTGCCGTCTCATCGCTATTTACATCCGACATCGTGGTTTTGTTTGGTAGTCTCGCTTTCAAAACGATTCATATCATAAATGTGCTATATTTACACATTCAAATTTTATACTGTTTCCACCAATTTCGCCCGTCCGACGAGACAACATGAATGATATTTTAACACGAACAATGATTTTAAACGTCATAAGAGAGACATTAAAAACAAATGGACCAACAAATCATTTCTGCAACTTGGGTGGATATATACCTTTAATATTTACATAGTTTTTTGGCTTAAAAGGAAAGTAGAACGTTTATGGTAAAGGTTCTTTGTGAAAAAGTCATAATATCATTTCAAGAACCATTACAGAGGTTTTATGTTTTTTCTGGCAGGACTATACGATGAACATGTTCATTCAACAAGAGTGGTACGACCCTCGCCTCCAATTTTTCGGCCTGATCGATTCAAGCTACCTTGAACTTGACTCGAAGCTGATCAACGATGTTTGGGTTCCCGATCTCTACTTCACCAACGAAAAGAAAGCTTCCTTCCATGAAGTCACAATGCCCAACCGAATGATGCACCTCTACGAGGACGGTCGTATTGTTTATCGGTTACGGTGGGTAAAAAAAATGTTATTCATGTTGTTTGGGTAGGTGCGGGATGATATTATTTACCAGGTACGGAGATTGTGAGAATGTATTAACAGGAAAGCGTGGACGACAAGAATGTATGATTTTGATGTAAATTGATGTATTATTTACATAGTAACATAATGTAAAATGATTTATTATCGACATGGTACGATGATGTAATAACAGGATACTGTGGACGGCAAGGATGTATTATTTGATTTGCAACTTGATGTAAATTGATGTATTATCTACTTGGTACGCGGGTATATGAGGATGTATAACTTACATGTATGATAATTACATTGTCCTTTTTGAGTCACAATATTTTTGACGACTTCTTTTAACAATAGATTGACAAAAACATGTCAAATTATATAATTTTTAAACATTTACAAATGATATTGAGTCATTCCAAAACATTAAGAGTGTATTTGTTTCACAGAATATCTGTCACAGCGTCCTGTCCTATGAATCTCCACCGCTATCCGTTTGACTCCCAGGTGTGCTCGCTGTATCTCCAGAGCTGTAAGTATTTACTTACTATTCTTTCATAAAAACATTGAGTCATATCTGTTACATATATATGTTTGCATAGTAATAACAATGTCAGCTATTCATAATTAGTACCGTTAAACTCAATTCGTCATTTTTTGCATGAAACGGAATCATCGGCACTACAAGTCAAAAGATTAGATGTATATAAATACGTCTATATTGCCATTTCGTGCTGCTGTCACCTACAAAAAATATTAATCTGGATTGCATTCTCATGATTTTAGATGCGCTCTTGGTCAATTAACAATAATACACTATTGTTTGTAATGTGTTATCTATTACATCATTGCTTTGCATTACCACCCGACTAACACAGAAATTTGATGTTCAGAAAGGACACGATGAAAATAATCTCTAGAAAAGTACCAAGAAATCCTTTTAAAATGATCTCTGGATATGTCAAATTACTATTAAGCGGTGGCATAATGATTATTGTCAGGAGGAATGTAGTCCATCTGGGAGATAATAACGGACGACATCCTCATTATCTGACAATCAAATTGTATTCATATTGACAATAACAAAATATCAAATGTATCTATCTTACTTGTTTCGAAACTGTTATATCAATCTACCGATGGATAAAGTTAAATTTTATCATGCTTGATATGCACAACACATGGCTTTCGACGTGCGATATACATATATATTATCTAATCATAGTCGTTATTCATCTAAGAGCAGTTAATTCAGAATAGGCGATAACTGGTTGCATTAAGAAAATCATTTTTCAAGTAAAAGGTATGACACGTTTCCATTAACTCAAACAGAGAGTGAGAGAGAGACAACGTTCAATATAACATTTGTACTTTTACAATCTTTAGAAATCGTTCAATTTTGAAAATTTAGAATTTTGTACACCTCCCGAAACTAGCTTTTTACATATCTCTTAAACCATTTTCATTTTGATTGTATGCCTGCTTTGTTGAGCAGATACTTGAAAATTACTAAATTTATGAAATAAGTGGAAAAGTGCACCTTCTCTTGTATATTTTGACGTCGACTTTTTTTTCGATCCCTTTGCATTTTCCTTAGGCATCTTTTGTGTTTTAAACTTTAAGCCAATAGCAACACTGAAGTGTCCTATAAGGACAAAACAGCTGTACGATGAAGTTTGATTCATCTTTGCTGCATTGCATTTGACGCTAAATTTGTATTGAAAGGTGCTATACGTTTGTGTTTCTTTTGTACAATCTTCGAATTTGCAGATGGCAGGCACTGCTGGTGGATTATTTGATCCCATACGTTTGACGTACCATCCATGCTGCGTTTTAAATCATTCGAATACTGGGGCATTTCAGAAAATACACATGTACTTGACATTCTTTTGAAATTATTAGATATGTATTAACATTACAATTTATCTCAAAAATGGTGTCAGTACATCTTCCCGAGTTGATTATGATATCTTTTCTTTATCACTTAAAACTTTCCTCTGTTAGATTACAAAAAGTCTGCAATTGGCATCACTGATAAGCCATAGAAGGACGAACAAGTTGAATAATACAGTTAAATTCAATATTGGCTCTTCTGTATCTTATTCCATATGTGTATGTTTTCCCTGTCTTTTTTACAATATTCTTCTACACTTGCACCCCAAGCATCACTGATTAGTGATAGAAGGGTGAAAGAAGTGTATAATGCAGTTTATTAATTAACAAATCCATAGCTGATTCTGAAATTTGTATTGAAAGGTGCAACATGGATTCACTTGAAATCTTCCACATCTGGATTTTGACATTTCTGTAATGCAATCTAATTACCGAAACACTTCTTAAGCATTAGCTAATATTCTACTCTGTATTTGATCCGATATTTCGTCCCCTTTTTAATTTTAATACAAAAGTAATGTGCTTTTCCACAGTCGCCTACACGCGGAATCGGCTACGCTTTAAGTGGAAAGGTAATAACCCGGTAAGGACAAACGCACATCTGGAACTGCCGCAATTCGACCTGGACAACCACGAGGTGTTGGACTGTACAGGGTATGGGACGGACGATCTGGCAGGTACAAACCCCACCAATCTTTAGGCGAATTTCTTTCTTTGCGTAGCACAGTTATATAATCATATGTACAACACTTAACACCAAATTAAAAACTTGTGTCGACATATCATCATTCCGGAATAAAATCAAAATAATCTTGCATGCTAACTTGCGGATAGATCAAAATGTTTTACAGCTTTCCTGTTCTAGAAGAGCCATAATAAGAATCCACAATACTATCAATATTCATTACGTAAACATTTTACTTTGAGTTAAATGTCACAGCCCCTATGAGATGCTTATACTGATCAGTTACATTTAATACAAGGTCGTCTACAATAATGATTTGCATTTTACACTTTCCTCGTATCCTCTAAACACACATTTAGCGTACTTAAACCAGACAGCAACTAATGTCAGAGTTGTACTTGGTTTTTTCTTCAATAATTCATGAGCAAATGAAAAGTGCTGTAATGCAATTGTGGAATCCTTCTCTGAGTAGACGCTCACGAAGGTTAATTTTCGAGACAGTTTTTTTCCATGCGTAATATAGAATTCAACTTTACTTAGTATGTTTCATCTGCAGTCTGTCCGAAGTTTTTGTATACATAAGTCTTTTAGATTCTTATTAGAAATAAGCATATTGATGAAAAAGAAATATTATGACAAACCTGGTACAAACTCTGCATTAATCAGTCGTTCATTACACCGTTCTCTTTATCAAGTCTGGCATGGTCATAGAAAACAAAGGTACATCGATGTACAAATGAAAGTTTTCTAGACATTAAGACCGTATCATATAATCTTATATTTGCGCTAGCCAAGGACTGTGTTCAGTTACTCATCTGCGTCTTAACCCTCGGCTAGATGAGTTGATGGTCAGACAGAGATCCTGCAATATCTTTTTATTAATATCCTATTCACATAAAAATATAGTTAGAACCTACTAGGTACGTATTCCAAATCGCAAGTCTAATAGTATGGGTCGATTAAATGACCACTTATAATAGAATATAGTTTTATTATTGTTTATTTTTTTTAGGAAACTTCACGTGCATCCAGCTGAAACTGCATCTGACCCGAAGCCTTGGGTTCTATATGATTCAAGTATACATCCCTACCATCTTGATAGTTCTGCTGTCATGGGTATCGTTCTGGCTGAGTATTGACGCTGTACCGGCTCGAATTTCTCTGGGTATTCTTACAGTGCTTACTGTCACTACACAAAGGACAAACTCGGTTTCGTCGATGCCCCCTGTATCCTACGTTAAGGCATTGGATGTGTGGATGGCCATGTGTCTGCTCTTTGTATTCGCTGCACTGTTGGAGTATCCGGTCGTATACGTCATGGAAAGACGAGACGTTAAGTTACTACAATCGAAAGTCGCAGCTGAAGAGGAAAAAGCATTAGTAAGTAATCCCCTACATGTGTCGTTTCATATAAATGTATAGTGTACAACAATTAAACGATTTGCCTGTGAAAAAAATGAAGCTTATTTTATATGGTAAATCTATTTCGCATTTTAATTGGAATCAGTTTTGATCGATAATTCAATTACGATAAACAGATTGAGAAAAGGCACTCAATTGAAGTTACTTGCTTTTCCCGAATTGAAATATTCAAGGTATGAAAAACGATTCTGAATCAATTGATCAGGAAATGTTTATAAAGCTAAGCTTAATACAAAAAAAATCGAAATTACCCTGTTGTTTGCTTACTTTCTCTTACAACACAGGTAAGTATAACATGTTTGGTGCTTTCAGTATAAGTGTGTTTGAAAAATATATTTCATGATTTGATTCTAGAAATCATGAAAACAGACCAGTATGAGTTTGTGTTACGATATATTTTGATGATTTTCTGGAACAATATAAACCTCAGGTTTAGAATACAACTTGTACTGTAAATCTCTGTTTTACCATAAACATTGGAAATCAGTTTGATCAAATCCATAGGAGTTCCTCAAGTTCGCGGGCAGTATTTAAATAATAACATCACGTTACCATTTTGGATTAGTTTAAATAAAAAACGTAATATCATGATATTTAACATAAAAATCTCGATTTTCACGACAAACAAAGGAATCATATTTATATAATCACTGGATGCATCATTATGAAATCAAACACTTTATATTAGGTCATACATCGTATTGTAATGTTTGAAAGGTATGTTTGGTTCGTAATGATACTCTAAATCACGTAAAAAGAAAGACATGTGACGATATATCCATTCTGTATATTGCCCCGAGTATGATATTTTACTTGTATCCCATTCTAAAAAAATTATGAAATTATAGGTGACCGAAAGTTTCCTCCACACTCCAGAGACGGATGGTGAAATATTTATAGCATCTCTTTGCTAATTGTCAGTCTATCATTGCGAGGGGTATTCTCAAAGACATTATAAAGGATTCGTTTGTGATTCCAGAAGAATATTCCCTTGAACTTATCCAGATCACATATTATTGTGCTTTTTGTGAATATTTGATGATTAATGATGGTTTTGAAATGGCGTGCAAGAATGAAATTGTAGTATATTAATGTGTGCTATTAAAAACAATGTTCTGAAGAGGAGCAGACGCATGTTAATAGGCTGCAAAAGGGATACATTATAGGAACAGATGCCACGCTATATCACAGATAATTGTTTTTTGTAGCGCTTTTCCGAGTTAGTTGTCAATGTGTTGAAAGAATAAGACAAGTGATACATTATTTTATCATACCGAGTAAAGAGGCGAAGTTGTGCGCCAGGCAGATATCGGCAAAAAACACATTTACAGGGTCAATCGATTTAACGCATCGAACGAAATCTGGCTATACCTAGCAATTTCGTATGAGTGGAGCTGTTCATTACTGATGACGTTGAACAATTTATCAACAAGCATTGGTATTGCGCCTTCGTCAATCATCCAATATTTTTTTGCATAAAAGTGGAAGTCAATGAACACATGATAAGTTGAGCTATACTTCGATCGCAACCTATGATCAAAGCTGCTGTACATTTTTAATTTTTTCGTTTCGTTTTGCAGAATTCGGAAAAGAAGCCGTGTGTAAGAGAACGCATAGGACAAAACCGAGCACAGCGGATTGACAACATCTCTAAGATAGTGTTTCCACTTGTATTTTCGTCGTTCCTGGCACTCTACTGGGTAGCATACACGTTATAATGATTTTTATAGAATAAGTAGGACTCTGATGTGTGGACAATATCGCATGCCAGGAAGACATGTCTATATAATGTCTCGTCCTTATATGCTTGATGATAATTGCAGTCTCCCGTATCACAGAAACATAAACTATTATCGATGAGAGAGAGAACAGGAACGACATTTGCGGGTCTTATGTATGTACTTACCCGCGTGCTTGGGGATAACTGATTTTATGTTACGAGATTCCTTACTAACAGTAGGGAATGAGTAATGACATTTAATCCTTTCGAGATTTTTTGCCATTTTCGAAAGGAATGCAAATCCCGCTAATGGTCTCTAGTGTGCAACATGTATAAGACAATTGTCTTCCTTTAATTTAAGCCTAAATCAAACAAGGTTATAAAGCCATCTATTCAATTTCTCCAAGGATCTCATATAAAGGAGTCTTAACGATTCAATTAGATTAAGAAATAGGATTTGATACGATTTTTGGTAATATTCTAACTAAGATATCAATTTTTGTCCCATTCTGGTGAAAACAACTTTTTGTCTGTCAAAAGTAGGCTTATTTTTCGATAGATTGAGAATAGCAAGACCGATGATTAGATAATATGTACAGATACCGCTCATAACTTAATCATTATTCTTCTAATTGGCATATATACACCACTCATGTATTTTATGATGATCAACTTAAACGCATTTGAAAGGAAACTCCGTTCACTTATATAAATATATGATTGATTTTTCATGCATACGCACACTACAACTGTCCACCAAAGCGTTATATCTTCAAAATATTGACTGAAGTTAGTCCCGGATGGGAGTTGCAACGTCGCCAGCTGGTAACTAGTTGAGCTGTCACGACGGATCTTTTCAATAAATTTCTTTTACTAATTTAACAATCAGGTGTGTGTAATTTAATAACTATAACCAGTTTGAAATACTAAAATATTAATTAACACATATCAAACTGGAAGAATACTGGCAAGGGTTGACACCCAAATATTGAAACAAAAGGTCAAAAGACATTGGCCCCTCTTTACGAAAATAATGCAAGAATTATCAGAACCTATCAGAATTGGCACTTTGCTATTACTTAACAGCAAAAACGCATTTATAAGTGCTTTAAGGGAAAACAAAATAGAATAATCAAATTTAATTTATGTATATATATAATAATGTTTATGTATCTGTGTTTTATTTCCATGTCTTTCAAGCCATTTGTTTACATAGTAACATCACCTGTCTGGGTTTCTGATTAACTTGAATATTGTTATCTCTAATTAATATATGAATAATGAATGTTTGAAATTTATGGTACATGTCAAGTACGTTGTATTTAACTCAACGGATTTTTTTTAAACAGTTTTTAATCGAGTATATAAACTTCACCTTTGATAATAAAACTGCTGATAAAAAATCCATAATTTGTGTTGCATTATTACTCTTTTACTTTTAACTAATTTTTTATCACCTTATTTTCGTACTTTTTTCCATTTCCTTTATCTTACTTTTCCTTTTTGTACTTTATTTTCCACTCTATGTGTCCAAATTGGCACACGCCCTCATATAACCCTGGCTGTTAAGAAGACATTAAACCTCGTTCGTTCCATGTCTACAATTATACAAACACTATGTGAGAATTTAACGTTTTTATCTGTCGAACATATGCATCATCCTGAACAGTTACAAACTGAAGCGGTTTACATATGTAGGTATTTCTGCAAGGAGTCATCGCACCATTCGTCATCAGGTTAGAATCGTAAGACAAATCCACATACTATTCGCAGACACATTGAACAAATTTTCAAATGAGTTTCGAAAAAAAAATCGTGAAACTATGTGGAACATAGCCTGACAATGCGTAATAGTTTACACACACAAAAAAAAAAAACAACTGAAAATCAAGTAAAATATGGTGAAAGGCTTGGAAGTTACTGACAAAAATAACCGGCTTCTTCGCGTGTCTGTTTTCGTAGTTTTCGTTTAACATGCATGTTAAATTATTGCTGATGAAAAAATTAAAGATTTTGAAATAAAAGAATAAAATTTTAGCAATAAATTGTAGAAAATGGGCAATACATATAAGAATGGTCTCATATTAAAGCCTTATGTTACTGTTCTATATTATGTAAACTGTTAAATGTGTTGTGTGATAGATAAGCTGTTCCAAAAAACTTGTATGATCTACTAAGTGACAATACTGACATTGAAGTAGTCTCGTAATTGTAGTCATGAAGTCCCTGTAGTTATCTCCGCTATAACTATAAGCTCTATCGTATAACATGTAGTACCTCTCGAACGCTGAATATAAATTATCTCCTTAAGAAGCCTGTTTAGTCATAAACATTTCCGATTTAGTCGGAATATTTTAGTGAAGGATTACATCAACACCCATCGGACTGTTCACGATACGCGATAAATGTCAGTACTGATGATTAGCTGTTATTATAATCTTAAAACGTTTCAATTCTATTATACCTCCGATGCCGTTTGAGCTTGATTTTTGCCACACGTACATTAAAAGATTTTATTCTTAACAGGAGGGACATGAAATGTGAGGATCCAATATTGGCAGAAATGTCTGTTTAGAAGCAAACTTCTATACAGACATTTCTGTCATGATTTGATCGTCACATTGTATACGCTGTGGGAAATTCTTAACAGGCAACACGCGGGATCAGCTCTCTGACCACATTCCTTCCTGTCGTGACGTGACGTGTTATAACAGAAGCATGTGTATCTCAACAAGCGAAACGACAATGTCTCCTATCATCCCACATTCCAGCAACAACTTCTTTTAACTAGAATTTGATCGGGTGAATTTTAAAATACAGTCTAAGTTAAGCTTAAAAGCATTATTAAAATTATCACAAGTCACAAATATGATATCGCGATTTTACTGATATAAATTTAGAAGCTTCCATGACGAATAGCCACAGCGTCTTATGATGGAGGAGATTCTTCCTTTAGACTTAACAAATTTTCACCTTTCTCTGAAATGTTAACATTACTATAATTGTCATCCAAAAACGCTGGAAGTGACGTCATGGATGACGCCTCTTTCACACTCTGAAACGTATCATATGACTTTAAATCTTTCTCAAGCCGATTATAATCGTTTTCTTTGTCAACATCATCAGAATCAGAAGTTTTTCTCTCCCATGAACGGGACATTGTATCGTAGTTGTTTGGGACACTTCTATCTCCTTGAGGACTAATCAAATACTCTCGTTCTTTCCTATTCTCTATAATGCACGTCACTTCCGTGTATTGATCTCCATTTTGGGGAACATGATGTATTTCTGGATGAATTTCGTTGTAAGTTTCGTCTGGAAACCTGAAATCGACCACCTTAAACTCTGGAGTATCACCTGTGTGCGGCATGTCCACATAATCGTTAGAAAGGAAATGGTCGTCAATAGTTTCGTAGTCCTCTCTGGTTCCTGAAACCGGATAGGTAGGGAAAATTAATAAAATTAAGAAACCAGGGACGTGATAGAGAAATATATCACATAACTCATTAATGAAAAGCGGGCCTTTCAATACACACGAAAGTGTAGTTACCGAATTGAAATTAAAAACAAACATCACGGAAGAAACTTGTTCCAGGAACAATCATATTTCATGATAAAAGAAAACATAGCACCATGTTAACGTTTGTATTTACAAGAAAGCGTGTCTTCATAGCATTGCAACTATATGTTATGTGACAGCTAGTTCTCTGGCGCTTGTATTCTCGAAATATATTAATGGCATTTTATGATCAATAGAAATATAAGAAAGACCTAGACTGGAGACACGAGTCCCACATGTCGCAGTTGCTATCTCCTAAAAACATAAATCAATGGATGTAACGACACATACGACACATTAACAGCACCTTTAAATATTTTTACAGATATTTACCTCTTTGTGAGCAATCCCGTTCAGCTACCTGCTTTCTTAATCTGATTCATAAACAAACAAAAAAGACATCAAGCATTAAAAGCCTCTAGGAAACACACTATTTGAGTAGATACAAAACGTTTAATGTAACAATGCTCAAGGCCATTGAAATGATAATATGTCTTAAAATGTTTATTAAGCTATGGATTATTGTGTTTCCAAATCACTGACAAGTGTCATTAGACCCCTTTTAAAGAATCTGCAGGCTCCATTGTCTGTTTAGTAAGGAAATGTTACTTTAATCATTTATATAATCGTGACCATGGTATGACTTTGGAGTTTTCAGTACCTTTGATGGGAACACGCTTATTCTAAATTGAGATTAATTTAATAACATTAATTAGCCCTTCAACAGCTCCCGCCCGGCTTCCCCTCTCTCCTAAAAACATTGGCTGGAAAATATATGTATACACCTGGTCATTAATAAGGTCATATTAAGAAAAAGAAACACTGGAATAAAGATTTGATATTCTGTTTGTCATTATTTCTTTTTTAATACCTGCACCGGTAGACTAGAACTATGTTTAGAATAATGATGATGAGTCCAAAACCAGCTGGTACAGCAATTACGATGTAATATATGATAGAAGAAGCTCTTCTCGGAGACGAAGTGTCTGTAACAGAAAAGTATTTTGTCAGCAAATCAGAGACGGTAGCTTAATCGATGCGAACAAAAATGATACAAACTAAGAAAGAATATGACAAAAAAATATCAAAGCTATCAATACGAAAGCAGTTTTGTATACGTTTAGAAGCTTACCAAGACTAAATACATTTAAACAACAAACATGTTTGAGAAACACTTCAATGACTAAATCCTCATTGATAGTTTACGTAAAAGTATACACTAAAACCAAAGTGACATGATACGACAATTTGAACTATGGAAGCACAAAACAAAAAGTCACAACGAGAAAGAATTGAAGTTGAAGTCTGGTAAACACAAAATTGTTAAACGAAAGAAAAACAAGAAATATCAGTTGGAACATATACTCGCCTTGTGAGTGCTCGTTGACCTGGTTCGGTCCAGGAAAGCACTTGCCCGTGTCTTTATGGCAATCCCCACTATATAGACAATCGCAGGAGAACGAACAGTTAGAGCCGTAAAGTCCCATGGGACACTCTGAAAAATTCAGGTCGCTCTAACATCAATTGACCGAAGTCACAAAAAAACAATTCATTTGTGATTTATGCATGATTTACATGAAATCACGCCTTTGTTGAAATAAATCTCAGTTCCAGTTAAATACAAGTAATTAATGAATGTTTGCCAACTTACGTCTTTTTTTAACTAAATTAATGAAAGAGCATTTTAGACAGTTTACGTTTACAAGATGTGATGATACCCGCAAAAAGAAGGTTCTTTCTATCTTCTTAGAAAATCAACACACCATTTGTTGTATGAATTGCAAATTCTATATTGAAGAATATCTGTTAATTCATTTAAGACACGTTTCGTTCTATGGAAGTTAACTTTCACTGTGTAACATCGCTGAATAATATGTAAACTTAACATAGGTGTGTCATATAACGATACGTCGTCAAAATAAATAAAAAAAAAAAAAAAAGCTACAGCGAAGCCAATGCACATAACGGATTATACAATGTCACATACCAACACGAGAACAGTTTAATACAGATACACAAGGGATCAATGAAATTTGTGCGTATATTTTTAATAATAAATTGCCCTTGTGTGTATAGTATACATTTGCCTTGAAGTAATGATTTGACATTAAAAGGCGGTAAATAGGTATATTCTCGAAAGCTACAGATTTAAAAAGCCCATTGCACACAGCTTAAGCAGTCAATCTATAAGATGTATATAAAAGAACACATGTTTCATGCCGATGGCTTGTGCAAGGAGATTGAATCTTTAGAAATCCCATTAGAATTAGTATCTTCAAGGACTTAAAGATTTTTAACAAATATATCCAGCAATAAAATATTGAAATGTGTCTGGGATTCTTTGGATTTTACACGAGGATGCATTGAAAATATCAAGCTACACGACTAAAAAATTTTTTTTTCGTTAAGGATGCACTGTTTGATATACTATATCTTATTAGTGATAATGAAATCAATATTGTACTTCTACCACAAAGCCACGAGAGTATTGCTAATAATATCATTTCCTTATAGGATTTGTTTCTAAACATACAAAGTGCAATGAAATTGCGACAAAGATTATATTCTTTACATTTTGTTAACGTCGAAAAGGCGTACTTCCTCTTTTTATTCAGTCTGTAATATTTTACGATGTACATATAATAACACCATTTATCAAAAAAGATACATAATTGTAAATTATTTCACCAAATACCTTAAAACCTTTTACTTGTGGTTATTGTTTTTTTTTTAATACAACAAGAAAATGCGATGTCAACATAATTTTAATTCAAACTCAAATTAATCAATCAAACTAGAACAAAATATCAACAAAAGAATAATTTAAACGGAGGCTCCTGAAAAACCACCAGTAGAATAAGACCAGATGTTCTGAAAGGGTAAGCGTCTTCTGCTTCATCGATGTTATACCTTTCATTTTTCCGGAGGGTATAATTAAATTACAAAGAGTAGATACCGTGAAAATAGAACTACGAGACCCTTTGCGTAAAAATGTGTCTATTTTTATTTAAGCTTTTGTTAAAACTCCGAAAATGTTTACTATACTACAAAAACCTTTATCTGATCTGTTTTCGTATCAGCTAAATAGTCATTTTGCGACTGACAAGTAATTTTCACATTTGAGTACCTTTTATCATTATTAATCATAGTACATACTCGGGTTCTGAATGAAGTTAACAGGAAAATCTTTTGCGTTTTCGTTAAATATAGTGTTTTGTTACCTTCGTCACAGTTTTTGCCAGTTAACCCCGGTAAACAGGAACATTGGCCGTCTTTTGGATAGCACGTTGAATTCGAAGGACAATTACACTTGCGTTCACACAACCAGCCGAAGGTGCCATGTTTACACACTGAAAATGCACAATTTGAAAAAAAAAAGTCAAAACAACACGATTCTAATTTTTATATCAAAGTCAATAATAAATGATGTCCAGAGAAAGAGCAAGTTTAATGACTTATCTTTTCAATAAAAATGATTTAAAAAAGACATGGGAAATTTGTTTGATAAATAAGGATATTCGATATGTGCACGGCGCCAATGTCAATTATATATATTATTGATAGATATGAGTTCCTCTATTATTTGTGTTAAACCAATGCTTTGTTTTTCTAAAAAAAAAAGAAAAAAGAAAACTTATTAGTACCCTTTATAAGAGATACACAAATGTACAGAAAAATCTTATGTATACTGATTTTCCTGGTCCTTATGATTGACAAATCAATACTTTAAGATAACATTTGATTTCCTATTAACGTATCTATGTTGCGTTTATACAGAGCCATTCCTTTACATATCCAGGCAAGTATACATACCTTCACAAATTCCATTGATCGGCTGGAAACCCAGACAGCAAGCCTGAACAAGATGGCTCTCCATGTAAGTTTCATTAACGGGAATTGAAACATTTTTACTGCAATTAAAACATGGGGGGTTATTTTCTGAAAGCTGTTACTATGCAGCGAAAATAATTGTTCTTTTGTAAGCAATTCCTACGTAAATCATAGTTTATCCAATCAAATATTCAGTTTGCAATGTTCTGGCTGTTAAATAGTAGTTTATAATTTATACTTTTTACTTTGCAATTTATTTGGTTTATGTCTCCAACACTAGCTCTATAAAACTTAGAGATCTTCCCAGAATGGCGATGAATTAGACAACTTAACAGTCAAGTTTGACATTTTGACGAATTGACTAATTTCACGTGCATATTTTTATCGTAAGTGATATTCGATAGTGAAAACTAAAATAATACCCCCTAGTGATCGTTAAGGTTTCTTTCGCCGAAAATTTTCCATCACGCTATATTTCATTCACGACGGCAAACGTGAAATAACACATGTTTCACTAAACATTTATCGATTGTCTTCATCAAGTAATAAAAAGCTGAATAATATCAAGGAACACCAAGAAAATACCAACATGTCAACATAATCATAATCCAAACTTAAATTCAATAAAACTATGTTTTACGAAATGTCCGTCAGTCGACGCCTGACCACCATATATCATTTAAATAGTACTAACAGAATGATAGCAGAAAACCTGTGTATGCAAAAGCAAAGAAGAAGAAAAAATCGAAAAGATATGCTGTAAGGATTTCGAATAGTTCAAGGTTATTTGAACAAGTTAAGAACTGGGGTATAGTTATGAAGCCGTAAACGTAATAACTGCCACCATTTAAAGGTTTAGAGGATCATTTATCAAGTGAATGTGACGTTGTTCTTTCGACAATAAAATAGATGTTTGAAGCTCTATTTGTATTTAGAAAATGAAAAGCCTTTCTGTGACGGCTAATTTTGACAGTTATAAACAAAATTGTATTAAATGTTTTTCGATGTATAATGCGGGCTTTAGAAGTAATTGCTAGACACTTTGTCCACATTTATATCAATCAATTATCAACTGAAAGTTACTCCTTAATGTGACATATCTTAATTGATTTTGTTTTGACGGCGCAGTTGCTCCTTTATATTCTGGGGCCATAGAGTGACGACCATCATAATATCATTAATATTTCGTTTCAAAAACAGTTTTTTTAAAAAAAAACCTTATGTAACGAACGTCGTATAATGTCATTACAAATGACTAACTAGAAGGTACAATGAAAGATGTACAAAGTAGATAATTTATTACAATTATGTTGACATGAACAAATCAAGGCAAACTTTTCTAGCGCTCTAGTTGTTATGAATTGTTGAATGAATAACTGACATCTATGGTTTACGCCGATGGATTGTGAACAGTCTATCGGCGTTTTGTTGTATCAGCATGCAGAATAATTGTATATCAATATTTAGCCTGTGATGTCTTTATCTCATGAGAATTAGCACACAAAGATTGTGTTCAATAGAAACAAGGTTGAAGACTGCAGAGTAGTACTTACTAATATTCCCATCTAGCGCAGCCATAAGTTGCAACTGCATGGCAATGTGGTTCTTTAGTTTCAACTTTGACCGTTTTATATATGGTTCTATAACGCAGTGTCCTGAAACAAAATAAACACTTAATATCGCGAATTTTTAAACAGAATTCGCTTTTAAATTTATAAAACAGCGTTAATTTTGTCTAATGACTGAACGTTTCATGTTTTCATTAACGAACAATTTGGGAAAAGGTGGTACCGATGATATGTTGAAATGAAATTGTACCCGTTGTTATGAACATGAACAAAGCAACTATGCTAACGAAATAGAACAAACAAGTTAACGTTTGTTTGCGCTCAAAATATCTCTCATATAAGAAAGGGGACATTATACTTTTAAGTATAATAGATATACAAAAAGCAATCATAAGGCGGTAGTCAATACATCTCGGTCCAAAAAGCAATAAACATTGTTTCCTTGGAGCCGAGAAGGCGTGTCTTTAACATGAAATATTAAACAAATATCCGAATGGTTTATAGCGACGCTTTAATAAGTAGTTCCCTTTGAAACTTGGAAAACTTATGTTTTAAAAGCTTTTTTAGGAAGAAGTTTGTCTAAAAAGATGTAATTGTCTGGAGATGTAATATCGCATTATTTGTATTTCCTTACCCATTATTGAATGTACACACATTATCTCCATGCAATTCAGTTTCAGCGGCAGACGTCAGAAATAGCAAAACCAATAAAAACATCACTGTAATGAATTAACGGAGATTCTCAGAAACTAAAATACATTTGGAAGGGATTCAATTCAATGAAGGAAACAGTAGTGATAATTCGAAAATGCAATAGAACAACAAGGTAAATGCTGTAAATCTAGTAAATCAAAGGAAAGAAGATGATTTATGATCAAATTCATGTGAATTAGTTATATGATAGCAACAACATTTTACAGAGATTAGACACAAGACTAAAGTAACTGAAAAACGTTAACCAGTACAAAATTAGAAAGAAATTAATATAGAAAACAAATTAGTAATATAATGTATATTTTTGTTTGTTTACAATTTATTGATGAAGCAAACATGTATAATTACAATATTAAAATTATATTGAAGATTTGTTGATGCAGTTAAGGTCATCAACATAAAACACTAATATGAAAAAATCATTATAATATTACTTTTCTAATAAAGACAGAGGAACAACTTACTTTGAATGACCTTCATGCCTTCTGTCCAGTAGTGTAATACACTGTATAAACCGTGATTGGAAGAATGTGTGTAAAATATACAGTATCCGGCCCTTAGTTCTCGTGTCATGTGTATGGTATGAATCTCGGATGTATGATGATGGTGGCGGTACAATGACTCATCAAAAGTGTCATTGTCCACTGTACGGATATATTTACACAAAGGACCCACCTTGTTTAGTCGATAATCACGTACTACTATTTAGGGAATACTTTGGTATCTTATTCGGAGATGAAAGTGTAAACATCTTGTTTTCACGTTAGAACTATAACTTCATGTAATTTTGAAGGAAGCGTTATAGAAATTATCGACATATTTTGTGTTATTTCAACATACTGCAGCACTAAGTCACCTATTTCTGTTTTACATGATTTTTATGATTACTTTGTATTAAAAAAAAACATTAAATATTGTAATGTGAAATAAAAAATTGTATTCTACATTAGCTGTTTCGTATATTAGTGATCTAGGTTATTTGTTAAAAATGCATATAGATGGAAAGAAACAGTAATCTTACAACTTATGAAAAGTCTAGTTCATGTGTATGCTTGGAACCGTGTCATTTTTCAAGTGAAATTTAATTTTCCGATTTATTGTAGTTTTAGGTCAATTACGTGTGAACCATGCCATCATTCAAAGAATTGTACGACAGACCACAACTGAATACCAATTCAATACATAGAACTGCCCAGGACCCAAGGTGTTGAAACCTAGAAGATGAGAAAAACAAAACAAAATTGTTAAACAAGAATGACACATATTGTAAGATGTACTTACCACAAACTCCAATAAATTTCACGCTTGTGATATTGAATGAGTAGAGCCAAATACATGTGAATATTCTGAGCACTGTTACAATCCATGTGAATTAAAACGTGGCATGCGGATATCCTGCAAACTACAAAGACTAAATTTTGAGAACATTTCAATACAAATTTGATAATAAATGCGAATATACCGTATAACAGGCGTCACGACATCAATTTTTCTGTGACGTTTTACACTTCTAGATAATACCATATTACATGTCGTAAACGATTCGATGTTTTAGTAAATGCTTAAATATCATGATTGCCATAAGGGGGAAAACAAGGTTTTGATTAAAAGCTGATTGATAAATTGAATAGTAGACATCATGATTATATCTTAGTTCAATGTGCAATATGAAGGCTTTACAAAAGACACATAATAGTACCATTCAATACAAGTTCAAACATATCTTACAACCAATTAAGGAACAGAACTTCAAGTTATTTATTCGATGTAGTAGGGATGCGTGATGATTTCGTTGGTACTAACCTATCCGGAATATCATGCCTAATTAGCCTTTCACTTATCCGGATTACAATTTGTACGACTTGAGTTTCCTTCTTTTATTACACCTGCCCTGGTTTTGGTGTAAAGGAAATGTCGCTTTGATCCTAAATACACAATGGATAATGACATTTCTTGTGCCTTTTCCCAGATCCTATCGTTTTGAAGACCCGCATAACAATTATTTCGATTTAAAAAGAACAGTCAGATATTATACGAGAAAAGATTCCTTCTCGTTCGGTTGATTGGTATATACAAGACGTTTGTGTTAAGGCGTGCGTGCCTGCAAGCAAATACCGTTTGATGTTACCTCTGAAAAGTAACCGGCCAACAGTTCATTGGGTTACTGAAAACAGGCCTTTTTTGTCGGTTACAAGACTTATGTCATTCCAAATTATACTTTATATACTTACATCTCGACTATCCGTTAGAACACTGTATTGTGGCATATATAAATTTGCATTGATATTTGTTTCTTATGTTGGTTCTGTTGTTACTTTATACAAATATTGTGTGCTTATTACATTTAACATATTATTATTATCGCGATATTTACATAACCGTTACTCAATATGTTAAAAAACATTAATTGTTATAATAAAGTGATTAATCAATAAAAACTATATTTTCTGTTTCGGGATTTTTCATTTTTTTTTAACTAGTGATAAACACAAATTCATATTTGTTCCTAACATCATAGTAAATGAAAGACATATATTCTCATACAAAAAAATCATATCTGTGATAATACAACAGCGTAGAAAACATATAAAACATACAGTGAAATAATTTTCACCATTGAAATTATTCCTTGCCATTGTAACAATTTATCAAGCCGAGTTATTGCACTCCGGGAAAATTTATGTCCATGGAGTGAGAAGACGAATTTGATATGGGTCGAAAATTTCTTACACTTAGTGGTCGAAATGAACATGAATTCGTTTATAATGGTACACGGGTGAAAATAACCTTGGGCGACAATATTCCGGTATTCATTACCAGTACACACATTCAATCATTGAGCTACCTTCACACTGTTGTTTCATCATTGTCTCTATTTGTCGACGATGATATCGGTAAAGCGCTGGCCTAGGTAACCACTTGTGAACAGTAAAGATGTGTGGATTTTATCTCACTTCCGTTGACGATTTGTTTTTCTCCATAAGCCGTAAAACGGTTTTGTCTATGTTTTCGTGGTGGTGCCCTTTAGAATGACAATTTAATCAAATTGCTCTGAATGGTGTGTGACGGGCGGCCCTTTCACAGGACGACAAGCCTTGCAAATAAACAGGACCACCTGTACCCTAGCAGTTTGAGTGTTTAAAGAGGAGTTTTTAGGTCGAGTCTTGGCAAAACTATGTAAATCCTAAATATTATTAAAGTACCTCAAAAGTATAAAAACATGTCACCGAAGAAATTAACTTCAAGGCGTTGTTACCAAAACCACGATTTTCGTGCAAGATTACAAGAAGTCGGCTATCTTCATCGTAATGATCTCATTTTGTAATATTTGATTTCCTCACTCGATATGAAGTTGGACGTCTTTGATGCTTGTTAGTATGAATGATGGTTCTGTTGTTGCTGACATTTGATAACACGACAATATTGACCAAGGTTTAAATGACGTCTTGTCGATGAAGCAGAAAACGTTTACACATTCGAAAGACCTGGGCCCGTATTCATGAAACCGTTCTCATGCTCAAGCATGAATTTTGTGCTCAAGCCTTGTGTCTTGTTTAAGTTAAAAAATAATAAATAAGGCCGATTTTGCCGAAGATTTAAAAACAATTTTGAAAGGACTTCAAGTCAAAGCTATATTCAAGGTTTAAATTTGACATTTGTATTATTTGATATGATTTAGATGAATTACAAAAACGTTTGCTTGAGCACAAAATCTATGCTTGAGCATGAGAATGGGTTCATAAATACGGGCCATGGTCTTACTATTTATTAACCGCCATGTAATTTTTTTCTTTTGTTCATATTTCACCCTGGTTTCATTGACTTTGAATTTGAGTAAAGATTCTGTTGACATGTCAGTATGTTTTTTAAGTCCATCTTTACTAAAAACTCAAATAAATTCAAAACAGAAAAAGGTTTCTTAAGACAGAAAAATGGATCACATCATCCTTGATGCCGTAAACTTGTGCCATCATAAAAATAAATGGTTTGACTACAATGGAAGAAAGTTCTTCAACCAATAAAGGCAGATAAATTCAAACTGTATAAAAAAAACAAGATTATAGGTCACAATGACCTACGTATCACGTGTTCACATGGTACTTATGAAGACGTATCTCTATACGTAAAGTTCGATGCACATAATTTATAACTGCAGAGAAATGTATCTAAACACACGAACGGAGAAGGTGTCTCCAAACAAACAAATAGAAAAACATTTCATTTATTTCACATCCTCTAATCTATTCAAGGCTCAAAACACACATTTACACCTGCGTGCTGATTTCTCCACTACAAGGAAATATGTTCCAGAAGTGAATATCTTCTTGGGACATATCAATGTAAATCATACTACGAGGACAAAGGGTCTACAACACCTGTAAATCTATAAAAACGACCGTTGTTGGTCTTCATTACAAATAATAAGCATTTAACTGCATTTTGTATATAACAAAGTAATGATTCAATCGAGCTTATACTTTTAAAAAAGCAATTAAACTGTTTACTACAATACAATGAATCTAACATTCCAATTAAGTACCTGGAATTGTATATGTATTCATGCATCGAAAAGATATGTTCGTTCAGATAGCATTGCGATAATGTGAATTTCAATCCAGCGACACAAGCATCACAAACAGCAAACAATTTTATAAAGGGTTTATTGTGTTCAAATTGTGAAAATCCTTACTTGTTCTATAAAAAATCTGGTATGGTGAATATTTTATGAATTTATGTAGGTTATATATTATTTGCCATGTGATGGTAATTTCCGTCAACATCTTCCTGCTGAGCCGTCCATATAGGCTTAACACCTACATAGGAATATGACCCTGGTTTTCCTTCAAAAACCGAACTAAGATGTGCGTATTCAAAAACAGGGCTAACTCTTTCGTCTGCCCTTTCTTCTGCTAAATCACTGAATGTGTTATATAAATCACCATTATTTCCCCTTGCTGTCTCTAGATGGCTATAGTTCGAATCATCGCCTATGCCAGGTTTCTGCTTCTTCGCTAACTCACTAAAACTGTTATATCCGTAAGGATCGCCTTGATGCGATTCAAAGCGACTATTATCTTCTCCGGAACTTTTCCTTTTTCTACTTCGATTATTTATGTGGACATGAAGGTTATTATTTTTCAGATTAATTTGTTTTTGTCCATCAGCACGTTTTCTTGAATGATTCTTTTTACGATTTTTCCTTGATTTATCTATTAGTATCAACTCATCTGTTACAGTGTCGTAAACAAATGTTCCTCCTGGCACTGAACGGTTGCGCCGAGCTTTCGTCCCTTCCTGCTGATTATTCGACTCTGTCTTGTCTGGGGTATGAGAACTGGTGTTGAAGTTGTCAGGAACATCTACATAGCTGTACTCTGATCGGTCTGTTTTTGATGTTATAATATCTGGTAAAAAAAGTTAGATATAAGGAAGAATAAAAACAAAGCGAATATTTGCTTTCAAAGATATACCCACCACTCTATGTCATTTTCCAACTTGGCCGATGACAACCAATAAATGATGAGTTGTAGAGTTTAACGATGTGATGTTATGACCTGAACTTGATTTAAACTATAGAGGGGTAGTGAAACAGTGCACATGACAAAATTTGTGATACGTATTTGATTAAAATATTTTTAAGTTGTTGACTTGTGTAAACAGTGGGGTGTTGTGCACGAAATATGTTTCTTTTTCAATTTTCCAATTAATTAAGACAATTTCTAAAATTAGTAATGTCATCCATAAAAATGTAAAATAATAAATATCTACCGTTTTGACTTTCTGTTCCATTCCCGAAAGTACTGAAATAAAAATGGTTGTTTTATGAAATAAAGATGAACACACGATCGATCTGAGACATTGATAAAATAGTAGTTAAGATATTATGATTATAGTAAATTTAGATACATCACTTTAAGTATACTAGGTTTTGTAAAGCTAGAATTACACGTAGAATCACTTACGAGTGATAGAAGGCTGAAACAGCTATTATGATGCGGTTACTCCATTATTTGGTATCTTCGTATTTCATTCCAAATTTGTGTTAAAAGTTTTTATTAATTTTGAATCAAACATCATACCAAATGTCGAATCATCGACAAACTGGCATTAAGTTATTTCACAGCGAGAAGACTATCTGCTCGACTGAAAAGTGACCAAAATCGTAAAATTCTTTGGAACGAGGGTGAAGGAGAGCAGTGAAAACGTTGAAAAATAATAAGACCAGGTAACTGTAAGAGTGTCTCTTGCTTCATCGACAACAATGGCAAAGCAAGTATTGGTTAATTCAAATAGGTTATATGAGCACATCTAACTTTATACCGCACAAAAATGGATATTTCCCGATGCTACCATGGTGGCTACCGTTTAAAACAAATCCCATTAGATTTCATTAACCTTCACAAAATCATGTGTTGCAAGTTTCTCCATCAGCTGTATAAACCTTTTATGGGAATCATTATATTAGGAACAGGCCTTAGAATATCAAAGATATTGATAAAAACTTGACCAAAATACCACTGTATGAATATAAAAACGAACCACCACCTGTAGTTGGTTAAAATTTTAAAACCTTGTATTTTAATTGATCAACATTAAACTTTACGGCCTCTGATTTTTTCAGAATCTCCTACAACAGCTATTTCGGACCACATACAAGCCACTCTGTCCTACTGCGACCACGTTAATTATCTCACTAGTATATCCACAAAACAGAAAACTGGCGAAATATCATTCTAAAATTTACCATATTCATACATATATATACAAAAATATAATATATATAAAAATATATATACAAAAATATAACATGAAAATAATATATATAAAAATATATATACAAAAATATAATATAAAAATATATGTACAAAAAAATATAATATATATAAAAATTATATATACAAAATAAAAAAACACAACTTTTAATTTATCGTGCACATTAATTTTCGTATCAAGGAAATACCTTATTTTCCTATGTGCCTTCTTGATTAAACACACAATGCAGACGGAGAACGTAGCTATGAAGACAGTCACACCTATAACCGAGGCCACGACAACAAATAACGGTACAGGTCTATCTCGGCTGATCATTGTGGTGTTAACAATAGGGTCCCTTGTTATGTCTGCAACAAGTAATAAATGATACTGATTGAAGCCAATATGTCTTAAAGCTATTATTTTCTCATGAGACAATGACACGTGCTTTATTGAGGATTTAAAGAAGATATTATTAAAAGAATAAAAAAGAAAAAAAAATCTTATTAAAATTGCATATCTGCATTAAGGTACATGGAAACAGTTAAAACAAGCAGAGATAACAAAGTAACTAATATAACCAAATTTATTGTCAATTAAAGGATTGTATATCTAATTAACGACTCTGCATGGCCGTAAACGTTGATTTAAACATGTGAATTGTGATAACACCGAAAGTTTTTCTTCATCAGGGAAATTAGAATTAAAAAAATGAATAAATATAAAACAGCTATATTTTCATCGTTGTTTGCTACTTCAATAAAATTGGAAATACTATGTGTCCATATAGATGATGCTTATCTGGATATTTTATTGTTGTAGTACGTGAACCTAAGAAGTGCTCAATGATACGTTGAAAATGTTAAAACGCAATATATTTCAGGAATAAAACAAGCAGTTCTAACTAGTTTTTAACTTCAATTAATTAAACAATGATTGTGTTTTATAGTTAACTAATCCAGCTCTAAACAGTACGAATAATATTTTTGTAAATAACTTAATCAGAACGCTTGATATCATACAAAAAATGGTAACTATAGCCCTCAGATTACCTCAGCTTTAAACACGTAACGTTCTCACGACAAATTTGTGAAGTAGCATATAATTTCCAGTGTTACCATGGTGTCTGTCATAAAATTTCGTTGTTTCAACCTAAAGGATTTTTAATTCGCCGTTCTCCAGTTTGATTATCTTCCACATGTGGAAATTAAACATTTCAAGAATTGGGTCTCTAAAAGATCATTTAAATAATTGGTGATAAAAGATTATTGATCAATGCATGGAAAAGGTCAAATATAGAAAACGTTCACATAAAAAGTGATATAAACCATTGGAACAGGGGAGTGGCTATAATCAAACCTAGTAATCAGAAATAAAAGGAGCAAAAAAAATAATAATCACAAAAATTCTAGCGGGATGGGCTTACTACTTACTTATCATTCCTAACGTGCTGGTTTCTCCCACTGAAAACAGAATATGTAAGACACAAGTAAAACAAATTAGAATGACATAATTTCACTAATAATATACATTTCTACTGAACAATGCTATTATTGTGATAATATTGGCTATGCTTTTATCGTATTTAGCGAATGCTTTTGCCATTAGTGGGCTTAAATGTTGATAAAAAAAAAGGCATCAGTATTATCGCAAAGTGTTAAGCATGCTTTAATATTTTCATAAAGTAATTCAGATCTCAAGTTATATTGGTCAATGACGGGATCTACGAAAAAGATTTTTTTTTAATTGTCGAATAGGGTAACTTTAAATAAATATGAGATTTTATGGTTAAACGTAACTGGAAACCACAGTAACTGGTATAACCAGTTGATAACAAATTTGGATATGATATTGCTAAAGCATTACGTGTAACGTTACATATCTCTCGGACAAGGCATCAGAAGATCAAAGAAAAGAATAGCAGGACCATCTGTTGTTATATAAAGCATAATATACTTACCAGTTGTATTTAAGAAACTAGTGTCTCCTTGAAAGAAAAAAAGATAATAGTATGTTTTAGTTAAAATGACACATGAAAGTAATACGAGAAGTGTAAATGAGTCAATAAGGTCCTTGTTCATTTCACAGACATTGAATAAAAGGTATGATGTTTCCTTCGCCATTGTAACTGAATGCATATTTTTCTTCGTTATTGTGAGCTTCATTGACGTTGTGTCAATTAGGTAATGTGTATGAAAACAACTAATTAAAAGAATAGAAAACTTGATTTTATCAGGTAAATGGTTAGGACATATAACAAAGATAAGGGTTAGACACACCATTCACCATAATATCACATTTCCCCCTAATACTGTATATACGTCAATGGTTACCAGTCATATCCTTTGTAAGTGTTTTGACATTGTAATTTCCATACCAATTTTGTTCATGTCCTGTTAGCGTGTTTGTACTAACGACTTTTCATGTCAGCTATGTACGTATTGGTTGTTTTATCAGCAGGTCTTTACCTACATTTGTCCTATCCACTTTGTACTTCACATGTGTCCTATCTGAGGTTTGTACTTACCAGGTATCCTATCTGAGGTTTGTACTTACCAGTGTCCTGTCTGTCAGCTTGTACTTACCAGCGTCCTATTCGTCAGCTTCTACTTACCGGTGTCCTGTCTTTCAGTTTGTGTTTAATAGTTGTTCTATCTTTCCAATTGCCCCGTTTGCCTTTTCGTACCAAAGTTCTGTTTACTAGTTTGTACTAATTAGTTGTCCTGTCAATATGGTGCTTCCAGATTGTGTTGTCTAGCTGTACTTACCGGTTGTCCTGTCAGTCATACCGGTTGATGTGTAAAACCAGTTTGTATTTTATAACGTAATGCCATTCTACCTACGTTCATTGCATGTTGTGGTTGACCAGCCTTGCTTGCATCGACACGTTCCGCTTTCTATATCACATCCTTCTTCAAAATTGACGCCATTGCAATAACATGGTTTATCACAGCTGTCCAATGAATAAAAGCCCACTATGCATTCTATCAAAAAAAGTAATCATACATATTACATACAGATATTATAAATTATAATCTCTCTCTCTCTCTCTCTCTCTCTCTCTCTCTCTCTCTCTCTCTCTCTCTCTCTCTCTCTCTCTCTCTCTCTCAAATTTTTGTGTTACTCTTCATGTTAATGAAATGATAGTTGCGGGGTTCTTTTTTATTCTAAATACGTCAACGTCATTCTGGAAATGAGGTTTCTGGATGTCATAGTGTATGTAGACATCAACTTCAACTGCGTAAATTGATGGTGAGTACTGTATGTTAACTTTGTTGTACTATCGATATTTAAGCCTGGCGTAGGTTGTTTTTTTATAAATAGTGATTAATTGTGAACGGGTATGTTGCCTGTGTGGTGGTAATGCTGAACTTGCTCCTTTTCTTACATATGAAAGGGACATAGTTATCAAGATCCTCCGCCCTTGATTAATTGTAAAATATATACATTTAAAGTGAGCAACATGGAAAACTGCAAAACATTTCAGCCAATTAGGTCACAGCAGTCTCATTGAATATGCACAAAGTTTGCCAATAATCAATCTTGAACAAGGGGTTAAGGTAACATGTCTACCAAGCAAGTCTCATCATTATTCATTTGTTCCTTCAAAGAATAACGTGCGGATAGCACTCAGTTAGAGTTTCGTAAGGAACATAAAATATTTAGCCGAATTAGCTGATAATAGAAACTAAACAAGGAATTCAGTCTACAGTTTACAAGTCTACAAAACAAATTTCTTAAAAATCTTACCATATTGTGCAGAAAGATTTCGCATAGAGTGATTAAAGAAATCAGTCATTTAGGTCACAGCTCTCATTAAATATGCGCGGAATTCGCTGTTAATCGAACTTGGCCAGGGGATTAATGTCACAAGTGTACCAAGCAAGTTTCATCAAAACCCTACTAGTCTTTCAAATAATATAATGCGGAATGCAGCATCCGAGAGTGGTTTCAGAAATCAGCAAATCGGGTCACAGCAGCTTCATTAAATATGTGCGTAATTTGGTGTTAATTGAACTAAACTTCGCCAAGATTTACGGTAACAAGTGTATCAACAAATTTTCATCAAAATCTTACCAGTCATTCAAAAGATATGCGGAAAGCCGCATCGGAGAGTGATTACAGAAATCAGCCAATCAGGTCACAGCAACCTCATTAAATATGCCCTGAATTTTCCGTTAATCGAACTTGAGCAAGGGATTTAGGTAACAAGTGTACCAACCAAGTTTCATCAAACCAGTCCTTCAAAAGATATAATGAGGAAAGCAGCATCCTGACGGAAGGACGGACGGATGAAAGCCATTTGAATACCCCCGCCATCTTCGTTGGGCGGGGATAATAATATGCATATGTGCAAAACTAACTTTTTAAATAATCTATAATTGAAAATTATGAAATATACAAATTTTAATTCTAAATCCAAATTAATAGTGGAAAGAGTTCATCACACGTACTTTCAGGACAATCCTGCAACTATATGTAAATTTTAAAATGTCATTTTAGGATCGAAGCTTTTCTTTTCGGCACAAACAGCATTGATCCCAAAAAACTTCTCCCATGGTATCATTGTAAATGATTCTTATGTTCATGTTATATTCCTTTTAAGGATATTTAATTAGATTTACGGTTTGTTTTTAACTTAAGTTAACGGTGTCTTTACCTAAGCGAGCTACAAGAAAAGCATAGTTATCATAGAGTTAATTTCTTTATTTGTTTACTTACTTTTCTCACAGCGATCCCCTCCGTAAAGCCATTTGCACACATTGCATTTATTTCCTTTACCACACTCCATGCAATTGTCCGGGCATTGTTCTGCGTATCGATATAAAAATACGGTGTCATGATGGTGTTAAATAAAAACAAGAAGAAAATACCGACATGTCAACATATGCTTAATCCAAACTCATATTCAATTATACTAGGGCAAAATATGAACGAAAGAAAGATTTACACGGAGATCCCTGCAAACGTATAAGTAGAATAGAATTATGTGTTCCTGAAGAGTACGCGTCTTCTGCTTCATCGACGACCACCGCCATGTAAATCTTGGTCAATCTAAGTAAGTAATGTAACATGCTATAATGAGAGAAAGATATACAGAAACGGAAGCAACAGTCAAATTAGGAAAATCAACCACGTCGAGCTTTTCACAAAGAAATTACAAAAAAAAATATACAATGACATCACTATGACGACCGCAAAACTTCCTCCAAATTCCCAACAGCCTGTGACATTTAAATCACCATGCTTATCATACAGATTGGTGGAAAGCTTTCCGTGTTGATGTCGTTGGTCAATAAATTTCTTTGTTTTATAAAGACAAGACGTCATCAATATATCTGAAAGTGACATTAAACGACTTTGCAAGCCCTTTGTGACCTGTTTTCATAAGCTGATTAATTCAGCCTCGTATGAAAATCAAATCAAGACAGCCAACAGAGGGTTAGTTAGTTCCCATAGGTATACCAATAGTCAGTTGGAAGATCTTACCACCGCGTCCTCCGTATATTTCGTCATTGATTTGGACTATCTTTCTGGAAATACGCTTTAGTATAGTTAACAACCATATATTTGTATGCCGTTTACCTTGAAAAAGAAAGCTCTCAGAACAAGAGAACGACGGCTAGAAAAGAGTATTGAAGATTGGTCCAAAATTCTTTTAAATTTCACATATTATACCAATGCTGAAGTCTGAAACATGATTTTGTTTGGAAACATTGCGTAATGTATTGGTGGGGTTCCATTCATTATCAAGCAAACCTACTTATTTTTTTATAGGGGTAATGTAGTATCGTTCGTAGATAAGGATACAGATATGTTAATGTCAAAGAATGCTGACCTTTCTTTCCATTTCGAAATTCATGCTATCTTAAAAATATTGAACCCCCTCCTCCTCTCCATATCCCTCAAATATCGCGAGGACCCAAACAAATAATCTAGCTGGATTTCAATGTACTAAGTTAACCATTATGACCCGAGTTATTTATTGCAATGTGATACAATGAAATGTAACCCCGAATATGTAGTATCAGATATAAGAGAAAATTCTAAGACTAAAATGTTTTTTCTTTCTTCTTAATATTTGGCTCAAAGGTAAAATTGTAATGCAGCTTCTTCATCAATGGCTGATTTTCAGGTAGGTTAATTGTTTAAATTTTGTGACAGGAACAATACACATGCACTCAACATCTTAAGATTCAATCAGTGAACGCAGAATATTTGGAAATGAACTTAATCTCAGTATGTTAAAATCTCTGTTAACAAAGTAAAAAGTGGCTTAATATGTTAACATAATTCATAATGATCATAACTAAAGGATAACTAACTTCGGGAAGTGCCAGGAAGCTCATTCGTTGACTAATAAATATATTCATTTTATCACAATCAACAAAGAGATTACAAGAGCACGATCTAAAATATCTATCAAATAAGATAAAAAAAAAAGCACATACCACACAATCCAGGTAATGTTGAGGTAGTCAAGAGAACAATGTAGAACAAGCTTAGTGTTGTCCAGTCCATGGTTATGACACTGAAACAGATAACTCAGGTCGGGACTAATGTAAGCCAACATATTAGTCATTGTAGTCGGAAAACACGATGATAAATGTGGGTCATCTAATGTGTCAGTTTCCTTAACATGATATTTGAAGTACAGATATATTGAAAGTAACACCTCGCTCTTGTTACTGTCAATAATTTGTTAGGAAATTTTTACTGCATCATCTTACATATAAGGATATTCATATTATAAATTTGCCAATGAATAATTTTCATGTTTGCTTGAATTTTTATATAAAGTGAAATCTTTTGTTCTTGAAACCTATTGTATGGCTTTATCGAACATGTATTTTTTTTGCTTTTGAATCTTTTTGAAATCCATTCCTGTGTTGGGTAATGTAAATATTTTAATTAAATTGTTGGACAAACATACAGTTAAGAATATACTAATTTTTGCGCCGTTGTGTAATAGACTTTTTCACTAATGATTCATATGTGATTGGGGTTTCTATTGTAACGTATGTTTTCCCCTGTATCTCTTACTTCTTAGTTATCTGTCGGTACTGTAAGTGAAGGCTTTACAAGTATTGCTAAATAAATTTGCCAAAAAAAATAATTTTAAGATATGTTTCTGTTTACAAGAAATGTATATTTAATAAGTCCATAATAGAAAAAAGCATTATTTTTCAATCATTGTAAATAAGTTGTATTTGCACATCTGCTTTAATTATATACGTTATAAAGACATCTTCATGTCACTTTCTTAAGTCAGTGTTTAGTTCAGTGTTTAATATATATTGTATATAATGTGTTCAGGTCTATATAATTTTAACCCATTTTATTTTATATAAATTATTAGGATTAAAGGAATATCTCCTATTCTCTTTTTCTCACTTATTGGTATCTTGATAACTTTATTTTAGTATCATTATACAGTTTACAATGACAGTTTCCAAGCACTCCTTTCAGAGGAAGTCATTGGATATTAAATGTGTTTACCTTTGTTAATCCGGGCACGTAAACATGTTCGTATATATCTGGATTTAGGGTATTTACATGTCAGCCAAGTTGTGTGACACATCTTTTCATTACAAAATGCATTTATTTTTTATCCTCAAAGAGACCCATATTAGCACCACCATCAGGTGTGTCAACCACAACACTTGGTCAGATTTGATCATTACTGGTTTAAAACCATTTACCTAATCATTTATTTTTTTTTATTATTTATATTTATTTTATTTATCTATTTTTTTTTTTTTTTACCAATTTTTTTATTTCCAGAAAAAGATACATCGATATAACATACAATGTCTTCGCGCAGGAAGGCTCTCTTACTTCATTCATATCACTTACACCAGAATTACACACACTTTCTTATGATATTCACATTACACATTATTTTTGAATAATTGAATTTAAATAATCATTTATTTAGTAATAATATTTGCTTTTTAACTAGCATAATAAAATACACGGGTCTTTCTGTGGTCATCATCAATGTAGTTTACTAGTAGCAGTATATCACCATCTTATGTTATTGAAATCATTTGTAAACAAACGTTCTATTTTCTCAATATAACGGTTTTATAATGAATTGGTCCTCTAATGCTTACTTCCAAACTGTGTTTTGTTTACTTGAAAACTTCAAATCAAAAAGCTATTTTACTGATGAGGCACTTATATATTATAAAATTTGTATACAGAGCATTGCACTAAAAAGTTAAAATCTGTTATAAAGCTACTTTTGGTAAAGTATGATACAATAGTCCCAATTCATCATCAGAAAGTTGATCTCATACAGTGATAGATTTGCTATTGAAAATTCATAATTCCGAAACACAAACATGATAACATATTAATACTGATACATTCAAAATAGATGATACTGTTTATCAGCTAAAATACAACAGATCACACACAACTACTTCACTATATACACTAATAGTTATAAGGACAGTCAACAGGAAAAAGGCACACGCCACCATGAACGCTTTTGATTTCCTGTAACGTGATAAAACTATTTGGGACCTCACTTCTCATTTGACTGAAACCTAGAACTTGCGCACTAAACGAGTACTTTAAACAGGCTCTGTATCAATATGTTTACACTGTTGGATTTTTACGGACAAATAATTCATTAGGGAAGATTCCATTAGGACTTGGAGCTCAGGAGGCCAGTACAATTAGAGGCCTTAAAGTTCTCCGTTTTAGCACTATTCGATAATCCTTTATATTTCGACCTATTTTGTTTAAGTTATTTTCAAACGCCGTGGAAACAATAGAAATAAAAGGGCCGTTATAGACCACTAAAAACGTCAATATGTGTAAACTACAATGATAATAAAAGAGGGAAAAAGAGATAAAAATTACATTGAGTCCCTTGAAAAGGCACAGATAATATGGTAAAATTCCTCAGAGATATTCTTATCAACGACACATGTCATGTACAATGTGAATCAAAGTCAAATCCAAGTAGTGCCTGTTATCAAAGAGATATATGTAACAACGCAACTACAGGACATACCAATTACCATTTAGAAAGATTGAAACGAACTCCACAAGGAAATGTCATACAAACTAGATAGAGACGTCTCTAAACAACGTTTTGTAAGATTCTCCATTTGACATCTGACACAATAACGAGTCATTGGTTACTGTACAAAAGAGAACTGTACCTCTCAATTAAGCTCCGATAGTTTTTTTCTTTCCTTTTCTTTAGTTTCGTGCGGGCACGAAGGCAAAACCTTTTTGCAAACATATTATGAATGTGCTGTGCTATGCTACGTGCATTCATTTAGTTTGCAATTCGGCTCCGAAATCATATACAGTATTTACGTGACATTTTTTTAAGTTTCCTTCGCTAGTAAGAAAGATCGTTTTTGGATTAAATGTACCGGCGATTTGTGACAGTGTTCAGTGGGAGAAGAGCAACTTGGCTAGCAATCGTCGCTGATCCTGATCGAACAGATAAGATGTCGCTGATTCTTGCTTAATTCACCTTCCTAAAATTACTTGCTTCATCAAAGTCAAAGACACCACCACGATTGAAATCCAATCTGTAATCGGACACAAGATTTGTCAGCAGACGACGTTTTGTTCTGGTGTTGTAATATTGCTTTAAGCCCGTATTTAAAAATGTGTAAATATAGAGAATAAGATAATTTTCTCCCTGATCAATCTGTTTGATATTCTTTGCTAATTGTTGTGTATACTGTCAGATATTTGATTATCTTATGAAGTTGTAATCCGGTTTTTTTTTCGTTTACATATTGAATGACAGCCATCCAAACATCAGGTGAATTGGTAAACAGGTATTCCATTCATACCAAAAAAGTTCGAACAGACCAGCCGCAAGGTGGCGTGTTGCCATTGACTTCTCCGATCATCAAAGTTATAAAGTCAGCACCAAGATTCTCTCATTAGAAAATGTTCTATTTATTTGTGTGATACCAGGTATGAAGGTCAATGTTTCCTATAAAACCTGTTGACTTCATTGTTTACCCTGTTTACGATATTATGGTCTACTTACTTGTATTGATCATGACTCACATGGCGTGTGTCGTCGATGTAGTAGAAGACGCTTAACCTTACGAAACATATGGTCTTATTCTCCTTAAACATTTCAATGGTCTCCTTACTAATTTTTTTTTCAGATCTTTCTATCGTTTCCTTTATTTTCAGTTTGAATTATGATTTGTTTGGGTGGTAGGGTGGCGCAGTGGTAACGCTATCGCCTTTCACCTAGCCGTCCAGGGTTCAACTCCTGGAACGGACGTGAAAAGGAAAGGTAAGGGTCACTTGCCCGACCACGTGAGTTTTCCACGGGTTCTACGGTTTCCTCCCACAAGACCCCTCGCGCGCTTACATACGGGCCAACAAGAGTGATTAGTATAAGCTGAAATAACTTGTTTCGCAATTGTTGTAAAATAAATAACGTTTATAGTTTTTTTATAGTGAATAACTGTGGTCGTGTTGTTGAAGCGACAACATAATGTACTGATGGTCCTTACAATCCGTGTACTTATCACCTCCCCTGCTTCCGTCTGTTGACCGACTAACCTGAAGCGCGACATGTATAAACACAGTCTAAATTGTGTTCATATACTACAATATAACATCCAGTACAGCATGCTAAATATACGGGGCCATTCTTTTTCATTCCATCGCTGAATTCGATGCAGAAATACAATTAAGTTTCTTTAATAAATATATTTATGAATGTAGATATATGAAATGCACTTATTGTTCTTAATCTGTTTAAGAAAATTGTGAATGATATTTGACATAAATAATAATAATAATAAAAAATACAATATATACGTCAGAATTCTCTAACACATACGTACATGTGCGTGTTTGCACAATAAGAAAATCCGGTTAAGGTTTGATAAAAAATCGGTGTCGGCAACTTTAATGATGCTCGCAGCGACCATTAATGCAGCAGTAGTGACGCATTTAATGGCCTGAAAACAGGACACTTTTCTCTACTGCTATATACAGTTACAGGATGTACGAAGTAAACGTGCTCCTTACGTATATACAATACCACATCTACATTATACTTATGTAATACAAGTTGTTTGTTTGAGTTTACGTCTCAACAGCTAACGTCATTTAACGACACTGTCACAATTCAGTCATCACAGCATTGCTGCTAAGACAAAAACAGCATAAAATAAAACAACAAAATCGTAATTCGAGCTCAAAATCGATCAAATCAAGCCATAATATTGTCAAGATTAACATGGCGACCCCCGAAAAAGTGCCGACAATTTGAGACAAAATTTCTATAATTCATACCAAGAATTTTTGGACGAAATCAAATTATTTCACCGTAACACACTTTAAAATAACGAGTATCAGGTTTTAGCAACAGTGCATTTTGTTTTGTTTTAAAACGTGCTATAAATCAAGGGAGTGGATGAAAAAAAAACCCGAGTTTTACGGATGACTTCAGGTAACACCAGAAACACACCAAATTCAAAAAAGAATCTGCCTGAAAAGTCTAAAGCATGTAC